TTTCTTTTTCTTTTTGATGATTTCTTTTTCATTTTTCATTTCTAACACAATTGATTCCTGCTCGAGCATTTCATGGAAATGACCTCCTCTGCCCTCCTATAGAATCACCGGAAATTCCCAAATGTCCAAGAACCGGAAAGGAATTGATATTCCCCCGTCCATTCCTTCCAGAAGCTTGCCAGCTGATGATTCACCATCCCAAACGTTGTTCTGGATTCTCTCGCTTGCAGTAGTTCTGCCCTCCCTTTCACCGCGAAAGCCAAAGCCCTTCGCGTGGTCTTTCGCGTGGTTGAGCGAGCGAGAGCGATTTATCATCGTCATCGACCTTGCTCAACTGACCCGTTACATGTCACCGTACCACCCGATACCAGCGATCTCCACTCGACCCAGTTCCGATATGAATCCGGGGACTTGGAGACTCCGGATTTTGGCCAGAGGGAAAGAAAAGGAGGGGCGCGCCCAGTGCACTTCCCTCGGCCCTATCCGCGGCCCATGGGTGACGTCGTGCGTTCTTGCCCCTTTGCCATGGGTCTCGTGTTCAACCTGGATGCTGGACGGTTGTATACATCCATCGGATCGATCAATTCATTTTCATTTTCTTGATTAATTGTTCAAGACTATAGATGTTTGATTGCTCTGTACACCGTACACCACCATCTCTGCTAGAATCTTCCACCTGCGTGCTTTTCCTGCGATTCCGTAATATTATCGTGCTGGGTAAACACTCTCGGTCCCGTCCGCTCGGCTAGTACAGATGAGGTTGTAACTTGTAACCCATTTCCATGTTCTCGGCCTTTTTTCTGTTTCATTCTCCTCTGTCCTCGATCTCTCCTCTTTCTTGGCCGTCGCTAGCCTTCGTCAACCCAATCAGAGCGCGGATGGCGCATCTCCACTTCCAACGCTACCGTCCATCTAGGCAGAAACAAGGAAGACGGCCGCAATTCCTCTGACGGGTTGCTTCATGGACAGAAGAGATGAACTGATCGCGATTTCATCAGCTAATGGATGAGACACGGTGGAGACAATCTGCGAGCTTTGGATTTGAGCAATTCGGTCAGTGGATTTCAGATATCTTCAATCTTCCTTATACCGTATAGAGTACAAGTACAGAGTGCATAGCGGCTTCTCTCGGCTCCGATTCTTCTTCCCGCCTGCCAGGATGCCCTTCCCGTCGGAGCGGAGAAACCTCTCCCCCGAAGACTGCCCAGACGCCGAAGCATCGGCCCAGAACGCCACGGTCTGGGGGTTGCGCCCATCGTACCAATCGTACCCCCGCGGCATCCTTCAGCCTTTCGCACAAGCACGCTGAGGGATGGTTCAAGCACTTCCAAGGAAAAGACAAGACTCTTGCAGTAATCTCCCAAGACAAACCCAAGAAATGCAAAGCCCTACTCAAAATAACTCTCTATAGACGACGAACGCTGGTGTTTGCGGAGACCGAGGGCGCCGGGGCTTACCTAACAGGCGTTAGAACGGGCTAACCGGCTAAGAGCTGGGGTTACGCCCATCCCCAGACTAAACCCCACTTAGGTCGATTCGCAAAGTCGGTCGATATGGCATGTTCACTTATCAGGTTCACACCCTCTTCGTGGACCATCAGCCGCGTCTTTTTTCCCTTTCGTCGGTCGGGCGCATTTCCCCAGGGCCCGAGGATGGAGGGCCCCCCGATCGCCCAACCAACCAGCGCCGGTCCGGCTAGCCGAACGTGGTTTAGTCGATACTTCGCCAGAGGGGGGATTTTGTCCTTTCCCTGCTGTCGACACATTCGAGTGAGAAAGAGTTGGATTTGGCCTCCTGGTTCCTTTCCCTTCGGCCACAGCCGAGTGGGTTTCTGTCAGCCTGCCATCGGGTTTCCTGTTTCGGACTTCCCGGGCATGTCATTTCTGTTCATCTGGTGTTGCCCGGTGGTCCATAGTTCGATGCATGGATTCGCACTAACCCTCAGCCTGACTGCTTTCTACATACACAGTATGGGTACAGTATGTACACCGAAGTAGGTATAATCTTATGTTGGATTGGCATTGCGAGAATCCTCCCCCTTACTCCGTACTCGCTACATGTTTCTTACCGAACCTACCTGCTGGTACTCCGTCCACTTGTGTATTTGCCCCCACCATCAGCTAAACAACGCAATCGCTTTGGCCACCGATGTGAATCACCCCAGGATTCGTTATAATCTTCTCTTGGAAAAACTGGAAAATATGGGGTGAGAGAAACGCGTGACGGTGACACGGACCTGACAGCCACTTACCCACTCCCGCATGATCGACTGACTCGGACCCCGGATATTTATTTCTCTTAATACATATTCTATTATTTCTGTTGCCCCCTTGAACCCACCGGAAGTTGAATGCGACATCTGAGCATCTACTCTGTTAATAACATTGTACCGACAAACATGAATCAAGTCTCCTTGGTACTTGACCAATAAGTAATCCAGCCCTAACTCTAGCAGCGAAGTACACCGTAGAGGGTCTACAAAACATCCCGCTTTCTTTCTTCCCTCTTTTCATTTATTCGCCCTGCGTGACCATCGCAACACATGTATCCCATCGGCCTGTCTTAGCGCCACCCGGGGAATTGAAGAAGGTTACCCGGACTGCCCTTCGCCTCCCTCCGTGTACGTCTGTTCTCTCTTTCTCCGAGAAGCGAAGAATCGAACACTACTCCATATTATCAACCTTCTTCGATATTACTCATATAGGTAATTCCTTCTCGGATAACACCATGATCCCCTGGATTACTTTCCTCTTCCAGTAAATGAAAATGAAGAATGGGGCGGGATTCGAATAACACCAGGATCTAGCTACTTAATTAGTTATCAACGGATACGGACTACGGAGAGTATCCTCTTACCCCAGGAATGTATGTACTGAGGTGAGCTTAGGAGAAATTCTCCAGAAAATACCTAGCTAGTTTAAGGGGGGTGGTTCGTTTGATTTTATCTGTATCATCAATAACTATCAGTTATCACTCACCCATACGGGGCTCTACCGTCATTCACAGGAAATGTCTATATGATATCAGACTCATCAAATATTTCCACTATAGTAATGATATGTCATTCCTAATAACGGATTTATATCCCTTACATCTATCGTCTATCTATCTGTCCATTCTCCCGCACCTACGTCTGCATCCGCTTACGCATTACTATCACCATCCCGTGCTTTACACATAAAGCTTACTGTGTACTAAACGCATCACCATATAAATTACTCTGAAGACAAATAAACGAGGCGGTGAACTATCTGAATCATGACATTGTCTGGATACCTACCTACTTTAGTTCCTCTAAGTAGGTCTCTAGGTGTATCCGGCTCCTTTTGTACATACAGCAACAGGAAGAGCAGGGTAGACGATTCAATCGTGAGCAAGTGAATGAGTGATATATTCATACTCCACATAACCATCCCTTGTATCCCTGTATCCGGATTTCTGGCTAGCTAACAGATCATTGTTCGCAATTAGAGCCTCAAATCAAATGCCCCAGCCCCTTCGTTCTTTCCTAATGTGCTGTACGTGTATGATGAACTGGTACATGTAATATCATTAATTTGATAAACTATTAAGAAATGACAGACTCTAGATTCCTCACCGCTTCTATTTATGTGTTGTATGCTACAACCCTTTTCCAACTACGTAGCAAGCTCGTAGGCGAGAAATATGTTGAATTCTAAGCGTGAGGAAGAAACAATACTAATTACAGTAGTCGAAGAAGCTTTGTGTACGTGGCCTAGTCAGCCACTGAAGCGGTATCTGCCTGAGGGTTCAGGCAACAAACGCCGTAGCTCGCTCAGGCTTCTAGCGATGGTTGTCACATTGTATAGTATAGAGTTCTTCTAGAAAAAGAGGATGTGTAGATTGTACTGCGTATGTACAGTCCATATGTACATATACATGAGATACTCATTGCCCGGGGCTCCATTTACATGATAACTGCGAGGAGATACAAGGTCTCTTATCGATATGGATCTTCCATAGTTCTTTATTTTCTCTTTTTCTTTTTCTTTCCTTCTTCTATTATTCATCGAGGTTTTTATACACCTTTATCTATGCGTCTAAGCACTCCAAAGCAAATAATCTTCGCTATTTTCTTCCTTTCCATATCCCAGTCCTCGTAAGATATGCTAATCTAAGTGGACCGGACATCCTTGTAAGCGCTGATGATCGAATCCAATGTTCATTGATTGAAATGAGTCACGTAGCTGAGGCCGATCTATCGCCTTATTTCTGGTGAGATGTATGTACCCATACATGCAGTCAATGAGACTACTTAGTAGATTATCCGCTAAGACACAGGGATCAGGCCGAGGCCAAGATAGAGACCAAGAAAAGCCAAGGCCAAGACCGGACGGAGTTGACGGTTAAAGAAGGAGGCATGACATCTCCCCGTCCGATAGAATCAGTATTCCTTGCCGATCGATCGGATTGGTTGTCTCTCGTATGATCGGTACAGACCCGACTGTGTTATGTACCTAGGTAAAGCTACGGAGGATACTAGATTCCGATCTAGACCGCGAAACTACTGTGTAAAAGAAAGGCTCATGAATTGGTTCCATTGCTCGAATCAGACTTACTAAACTAACTGGACCGACAAAAACAGACTAACGACTCTGCCAAGTGAAACTATGTATGCAATTGAATTCCTTCGAGGCCGAGAACAAAGAAGAAAACCGGGTTGATGTTGCATTCTCAACCCGAATGGTTTGCCAGTTCTCGGTCCGTGGAGATTTGATCGCCTAGCCCGGGCCAGCCGGCTGACATCGTCCCGTCATCTGGCGAAGAAGTGCAGTAGAAGTTGCCGAGTTAGGTAGCACGGGTCAAATCAAGGCGGAACAGAAAATCGAAACAGAAACAGCACTCATGTTGGACAAGTCGAGGGGAAAATGCACACCCGTGTCGATCATGGAACGTGGACTATGACATCAGACATCGTCTCAAACGATCTTATTCCGTGTCGCGCCATCACTTTCTCTGTCGGATGGGGTGGCTTTTGTCTAGTCCCAAGTACTGCTGATAGCGGCTCCGGTTCCCCATCCTCCCCCGCTTCCGTCGGTGGGTTCAGGCTGGTCGTAGGACTCGGTTGCTCCGGGATTCCAACTATCGGCACCACCTCCATAGTCGTTGTTCTCAGTGTTTACCGTGTCCATTTCACCCGACTCGCCGGCGGTTGGGCAGCGTTTGATGGTGTGTCCCACTGGATTAGTGTTAGTCAGGACTGGTCTCCTGCTAAAGATCAAGACCTCCACAACGATTGGATAAAACTTACTTTCACCACAGTTGTTGCACTTGACTCGGGACCAGTCCTTTTTCTTGGTGCATTCACGACTGAAATGTCCGACTGATGACGATATTTTAGCCGGTACCCGGTTAACCATTGACAGCATCATCACTTACCCTCGTCACAGTTGCGGCAGGTCACAGTTGACACATCCCGTGGCTGATCGCAGTCCCTAGCAATGTGGTCCTCGGATCTTTTCCGTTAGCTCGACCCTCCGAAATGCGTGCGACGAGTCTCAACTTACCCACAGTTACGGCAGGTCCTAGGAGCACTGGCCTGAGGACAGTCCTTTGCAAAGTGACCGACTAAACCAAATTAGCATGCAATTATGCCAACAAATCTGAGTATATCGTACCTTCGTTGCAACGTCTGCACTCCACACCTTCGGCAGTGCGGGGATTAGGACAATCTGAAGCCTTGTGCTCAGGGGATCTTGGTCCTGTTTAGCATCAAATGTAGCTGATCGAAGAGGCAAACAAAACATACCCGCAGTTCCGGCATGCAAATGGATCGACGCGAGGCTCAGTGCAATCGCGAGCACGATGGCCCACGGCGCTACAGTTGACGCATTTCACCTCCACTTTCTCGAAGTCGGGAGCGACATACTCTTGCTTACATCCGCGAGTAGTGTGTCCCATTTCTAGAGATTGTCAGCGCTGTCCTTCGCACAACAGTGTCTACTTACCGCCACAGTTACGGCACTTGGGAACCTGACGGTCAAACGGAAGGCCGGCATCTCCAAGGCGTTCAAGGTTGTCTTCAACAGAAGCAGGCCAGCGCTCACGAAGGTGTGCACGCTGAGGTTTGGCACTGTAGAAGAGTCCGACGACGTAGGTGCAGTTCAACTTGCCCTGGAGGTCAATAAGACTGATGCAATCTTCCACTTGTCTCTCCTGTACGATCGTTAGCTGCGTCGTGGAGAGAGACAAGCAACTGAGTCACTGACCATGGCAATGAGGTGGAAATTGAGGTCATCCTCGCGCAGTTTGTTTTCGATGTCGACGAAAGTGGCCTGGGGAACAGCCTTGGAGTAGATATTGATAGCCTATATTATCAGAATATGCATGACCTCATCCAAGAAGGGGACAAACCTCACGAAAATCCTCGAGATCCCTCTTGACACTGGCCGTTATGATGGCATCCCAGGCCTCTTCGGGAAGCTTATCGGGGATATGGTTGGTATCAAACTTCCGATTTTCGGTGCAGTCCTTAGTTGGGTGGCCTGACGATAAGTAAGTGTCTTCAACACGTCTCAACATATTAAGGAACCATTCACATACCCTCCATCTTGCAGTTCTTGCACACGTCGGGGGGTCTTTCGGGACATTCAACAGCGGGGTGTCCCTCTTGATTGCAGATACGACAAGTGCCCTTGAAGACCCGAGGCTTGGCGCAGTCTACTTTGGCATGACTAGAAAGAATTATCGGTGATGTATTCAACCATACGATCAGGAGTACTCACCCCTCCTCACCGCAGTTGAAGCAAGCCATAGCCTTGCGAGGCGCAGTGCACTCTGCTTTGGAATGACTAGAAACAAAATATTAGTGACGCATTCACCAACTCGATCAGAGATACTTACCCCTCCTCGCCGCAGTTGAAGCAAGCCATACCCTTATTAGGCTCAGGGCACATGCGAGCGAAATGATCATCACTACCGCAGCTAGAACAAGTCAGCAAATGGCAGAGGACAAAGGCAGGGAGAGACCGACTTGCGGCACTTGTTGTCATCAGCACCCTTGTAGGGCTTCTCGTCGCCTCCACCGAAGTAATCACCTCCGTAGTCAGAAGACGGCTTGAAGCCACCGGGGTTGACATTTTCGACGTTCCCAAAGCCTGCTCCCTGGTCAGAGATAGCTCTGCAGACATGAAATCCCGAACAGCGAGGCTATGGAGATACGTACCGGGGTCGTTAGGAGTCCATTCGGCTCCACCAGGATTCCAGCTCATGTTGACTTTTGGAAGTGAAGGACTACTGGAAGGGAAAGCGCTAGACTGACGATAATCAAGTGATTAGCCAGGAAATCTCGGTAGGAAGGAGACAAAGGGGGAGATGAAGAAAGAGATAGGATGGTGTGAGATGAAGACAGCAATCCGAGAAGTGATGCCTTTTACAACAGTAACAAGCGGATAACGGTTATTTCGATGAATCTCATTGTGTTTTGGATGGAAATAATGGAAAGGAAACATGTACCTGAAAGGAATCTCTGAAGGAAGGTTGTTGCTAAGAACTCAAAGGGAAGATAAGGGAAGAAAGAAAACGAGAGAGACGATGAAGGGGGGTGGGTAAGGAGATAGGGAGAAGAGAGAAGAGAAAGGAAGTGAGGTGGGAGAGTGAAGATAGGAACAAGAGGGTGGGAGGGGGGAAGTAAACAGAAGAGGAACAGACAAACGCCAGTCATTCACTGTGGCTCATGTCTATCTCGTTTGCACCCCAGCCCTTCCTCTGCTCTTTCTGTTTCGATGGTTCCTCTTCTGCTGTGTTACGAAAGATGAAATGAAAAAAAAAATGGTGCATTTAAGGTACACATGACTACTATAGAATACAAGCTGACTGGCTTTGAATGTTTATGATTCTGAGTCTACAACTGAGGACTCTGTGTTAATGGCATCTCCACCACCAAGTTACTAAGTGGAGACTGTTTTTTTTAGAAAATACAAGCTATACTTGAAATTTATAAGGAAAAACAATGAGATTCTATTCAATCTGTGAAGAATGCACATACCATTTTAAACTGATGAAAATAGAAGTATAAGCCAAGAAAACGACAGACAACAAAATGTCAACAAAAAGCAGAAGCATACTATTTGGCCATGTCATCCCCATCGGAAGGTGAGTCCTCGTCGGAAGATGAGTCTTCGTTGGAATTTTGAAGACGCTCGCAAGCCTGGCCAACTTTTATCAAGAAATTGCTGTTGCCCGGGTCGTCGGAAGGTGAGTCCTCGTCGGAAGATGAGTTTTCGTTGGATTCTTGACGAGGATCGAAAGTGCAGCCAGGTTTTCTCAAGAAATCGCTATTGCCCGGGTCGATATCATCCTCTTCGGAATCTAGATATCGACGCAAGAAACGGTTGCCGATTTCTATCAACCTGGACGTTCTTTCGCGTGAACTGATACCATTTCCCTCGGAAGGTGAGTCTCCCCGGGAAAATGAATCTTCGTCACAAGGCAAGTCTTCCTCGCTAGATGAGTCGTCGAAATTGTAACCCATGCATTGGGCGCGAAGTCTTGTCAAGATGGCCAGTGGTGCGTCCGAGGTCCTGATGTAATCCTTTACCTCATCCAACTTGTCTCTAATATGTTCGATCTTCTCCAATTCTTCATCGGCCTTGTCCAACTCCGCTTCTATCCATCGATCCAGCGCGTCCTCGTCCATGTGGACGAGTTCGGACCAGCCAAAGGGATCATCGGACAAAAAAGGGAACGGGGGCTCGTCGTCTGCCGTGACTTCACCCATTTTGACGCTCATAGTCGTGGCCATACTCTCTTCGATATTTGCCAGATTGGTTTCACACTCTATCAGTCTCTCTTTGAGGTTTGGGATGGTATCGAGAGTGAGAACAAAAGGCATGTTGACAGTCTGCGTTTTGATCTGGGTTGAAGCACTGAAGCAGAACGTAAAGATGATATGAAGGGGGTATTTATGTTTTTTACCGTCGTCCAGCCATCTGTGTATCTGAATAAATGTTCCGTGAGGATGGCGGAGACTACCTATAAGATAGTAAGATACCAACGATTTACAATCAAATCGAACGGACATATGACCGAAAGCCTATGATTGGTTGAATGAGAGAGGATACAAAGCATATGGGCCTCCTGTGCGGGAATTTGCTTGATCAACAAGTTAGTAGAGAGAGCAGAGATGTCCGAAATTTTGCAAACGGCAACTACTACTTTTCCGTATCACTAGAGCAAACAAGCCACACAAACATTATCGTATAGGCCAGGCATATAGATCAGGTCTTGGTTCACAACCTGTAAACTATAGGTAGGCAGAGTGGAAGAGCAAGGGACGGAATAGAAAGGGAGGTACCTGGTAATATCTCTTCTGTCAAACGAGAATAAAAAACCTGTCCAATGAAAACCGGAAGCCGGAAACCGGAAACCCAAACGATATCAGAATGACATCCATGTCGGTCAAATTCATAATGCTAACTACCAGATCAAGCCGAAGTCTAGAAGGAAGGAAAAAAGTGAAAGAGAAACATTGCATCATCCATCTACCACATGCCGCCTTACCCTTTCAGGTAAAACACCCAGCCATGACCCAGACACGTGATCCGACCAGGAACAATATCTCAGGACAAGAAACCGTGCTTCCTCAAAGAATAAGCATAGCAATATAGATGAAAATCAACTGTAGAAATGACAACTGTCCAGTCCAGCTTCCCTTACTTGAATAGTCTGCCCAGCAGACCACCAGCAATGTTATTCACGATTCCACCGGACAAAGCACGGTTGGCGAAGGTCGATGCCTGGCTGAAGCGATCGCAGCGAGAGAAAGCGACGGTGTTGGTGATGGTCAAGACGAGCGCAATGGCTGGTGATGTGTGAGCGGGACATTTCGTTTTCCGGGGATGTATATGCGGATTCAAGCCTTGGGGAAGATAACTTACCAACCAAACTCAACCAGATCACGCTACTTAGTCGGATAATAGCCAGGATGGCCAGGCCGATCCACAGCGCGGGCGCGACGTATAGACTGAGCCAGAAGAAACGTTTATCGGTGGCGGTGATGGAGGTGGTCGAGTCGGAGGATTCGAAGACCCAGTGCGAGTCGCCGGAGGTGGTGTTGACTTCGTTCCACCAGCGGAGGCCGACAAGGCGTCGACCAGCAATGTTTTTGAGGTAATAGAAGTCGGCGGCGAGTAGGAGAAGGGTGATGATGAAGACGAGGATGCTAGACGTAGAATGGAATGATTAGAAGTTTGGACGAGTTGTTCTAGGTTCAGGGGAAGCTCGTGCCGGCGGTTTTGCGCCACGAGGGGATTTGATCGAGCTGATCGATCGCATTGCACTGGGATTGCGGTGTCACATACAAATTTCTAATAAAGAGCACTCCGAACAAGTACATCAGCAGCGCGCTGATACGGAAACCCAGGAAACATAGGAGGGTGATGGGATGGGCGCTGAGACGCCAGTTCAACTCGCCCTGTTGCGAGGGGCCTTGGCCTTGGTTCTCCATGGTGAACGACGGATGACGAAACCAAAATCAAGCAGAGATCAGGAAGGAAGATAGTTGGCCACAACGATAGGAGCAATCCCGCTCACTCTTTTTGCTTGCAGACGGAGGACCTGACGGGATCATCGGCGATGATGGATGATGCTGCGTGTCGCCTGCGGGCGGTGGATGGCGGCAGAATAGAAGCCCATCAGCTAAGCTCATCGGTTATATGCAGGAACCTCCACGGTGACGATATGACGATTTGCTCGATCATGATCATGTTGGGTGAGAAGAGAGAGAAAGGATGAAGTCCCAGTTAATTCCTGGGTATATTCCAGAATGCTATCCATCATGAACCTGCCAATCCCAATCCACGAGAGCCACATCAATCCGGAGAAGCCTTTATGCAGACGGCCGAGGATGTTGCGTTCTCCTCATCGTCTCTTATCCGCCCGATAAAGCTCCTCTCATAGCTTCTGGCCCAGTCAACCATCCCCAACGCTCCAACTTCACCATACACTCCAGCCCAACGCAGCATCATGGCAGCACGAAACACTCTCCGTCGCTCCCTGCTCTACAGTATGTCCCGCCTTCATGCAACCAACTATCAGACATAACCCACCCACTTCCCCGCATTCCCATACTATCCATGATAGTACTACTATCATACCCAACGCAGCCCACACCACCCTCACCCACCCCAATTCCACTGAACAAGACAACCCATACTAACAAAACATGTGAGCAAAGTTCCCGGCTCCTCGCAGCGCTTCATCGACAAATCCCGCAGTCTGACCGCCGACTGCGTGGCCTACGACCTCGAAGACAGCGTCACTCCGCACAAGAAAGCGGAAGCCCGGTCGCTGGTGCGGAGAGCCCTCGAGCTGCCTTCGACGCAGGGGATCCGCGAGCGCGCCGTCCGCATCAACTCGGTCGATAGCGGGTTGGCGTTGGCGGATCTGACGGAGGTGGTATGTCTTTCTTCCCTAGCTCCTCGCCTGTCTCCCTTTAATCCATCCTATACCCCCAACAAGACCAGGAAGAAACCCAGCATCAGTCAAACTAACATTCACAAAAATAAAAGCTCCAATCCCCCAACCTCAACACAATCGTGATCCCCAAAGTCAACTCCCCCTCAGACCTAACCTTCGTAGCGGACGTCATCACCCACACCCTCGCCCAACAACAACAAACAACCAACACCCCCCGACCCCCAATCTCGCTCCTCGCACTCATCGAATCCGCAAAATCCCTCACAAACCTCACCCAAATCACATCCGCCTCACCCCTCCTGCAAGGCCTAATCTTCGCCGCCGAAGACTTCGCCCTGGACCTCAGTCTCACGCGCACGCCGCCCCTCACGGAGTTCCTGTTCGCGCGATCCAGCATCGCGACGGCCGCAAGGGCAGCGAACCTCCCCTCGACGATTGATCTGGTTTGCACGGCGTATAAAGCGCAAGGGGACGATGCGGCTAGGATCTTAGAGGAGGAGTGCAGGGGCGGGAAGCAGCTGGGGTTCAATGGGAAGCAGTGCATTCATCCGTCGCAGGTGGCGACGGCGGAGAGGGTGTTTGGGCCCGAGGTGGGGGAGGTGACGTGGGCTGTGAGGGTTGTGATTGCGGATGAGAAGGCGGCGAGGAGTGGGAGGGGGGCGTGGACGTTGGATGGGAAGATGATTGATGTGCCGGTGGCGGAGAAGGCGAGGGCGATTGTGAGGAAGGCGGAGGAGTGTGGGTTTGAGGTTGGGAAGTTGAGGGAGGAGTGGAAGGGGCAGGAGCCGGAGTAGATATGTTTCCTCTTCTTTCAAGGTGTAGTGGAAGTATGTGTGTGTGAGAGAGGTGATGGCCTTTGCTGCTATACTTAACTACCTAAATCAGGATTGAGTCCCATGGTTGTTGACTTTGGCCTTATCAGGTCAACCATGGTGAGATAAAAAGGCTAAAAACACGCTAAATAACATTTCGAGTTACGCTCTGAGCTGAAGGGGCAAGGAAAAAAAAGGACCTGTCTAAGCCATCTCTGATCTCTTAGCATCGGTGTGAAAGGACATCCTCGAAGACCCTAGTCAGAATTCTACCATCTCCATTGGGTGAAAGTGCAAACAAAGGGATATCTTAATCGCTTTGCAGAACAAGAAATAAGATAAGCTGTAGTAAAGAGCAGCGAGTCCCCGTGTATCGACCCTCCGCCTTACAGTTGCTTCACTTCCACGTCTTCCCGCTTCAGCAGTTGGATCTTGCCCGTGAGAGCCTGTTGGTTGGCCAGGCCATCGGCGTCGGCAGTTCCGTCGGTGCCCTCTTGGAGACTGCGCGCGAGTGCCTTGTCGTAGCTGGTGGGATCGATCCCCAAAATACCTCCGACGTATCCGCCCCGTTCTCCGGGCACGCTGAACTCTCGGAAAAGGTACTTCCAATCGTTCAACCACGCCTTCACTGCCTTGCCAATCTTGTCTTTGCCGTTCTTGGAGTGGTGGCCGGTGCCGGTGATGGCGTAGACGACCCGACGGCCTTCGCGCGCATGTTTGAGGAGGATCTTCTCCAGATATTCTATCGCTTCTTCGGGGTGCAGACCGTGCAAGTCAACGTAGAGCTCTTCCGCTGAATCCTCCAGGCCGATGCTCAGAAGGTGCTTATTGCGCTCTTCGTACAATTGCCGTGCTGCTTCTCGGTGACACTTGCGCATGGCTTCATTCTCGGCTTGACCGCGCAGAGACAGGGCCTTAGCCGCTCGCGCATCATTTCGGTTCCAAGCTTGAGCGGCACTAATAAAACAGTCAGCTTTCGAAGAACCAGCCATGTGCATGTGGCCAATCTCACCTCTGAAGGAACTTGTTTCTCACGGTTCCGTGCCGAATCGCCTCCGTACGATACTTGATATATTGCGAATTGGCGCGCGAGCCTGTCTCTAGCCAAGGGATGTTATGGGGAGCGGGGATGGACATCGCAGCAGCACTGTTTTCGCGGCCTTTCGATCCATCCTTATGCTTGGACGAGGACTTTCCTTTGCCGGGCGCCGGTGACGGAGACATCCGCACAACGTCGGCCAGGGAGGTCGGCAGGTTCTCTTTGCTGGAACCGTTCTCTCTATTGTGCGGGTTACGTTTATTGTGTTTCTTGTTCTTCGCACTGCCGGCAGCAAGGGTAGGGAAGGCATCTGGGTCGTCTACCGAGAGAGCGGCTGGGTTCAACTCGCGATGCTGATGTCGGCTGCCGGGCCGGGAGTGAGGGCGAGACATGTGCGGCATACTCCCATTGCGTTTGCCCGGCCCCAGTGGCATCCCCTGCGGGCCATTCTTGGGTCCCATGAAACCCAGATGGGCTGGATATTTCCCCATGAAGTGGCCCATCCATTGGTCACCACCCGCCGCACCGCCGTGCAACGGAGGAAAGGCTTCCGGTGTATTTTCCGAGTAGAATTGGGACACACCTAAAGTTTGGGGGGTGCCATCGCTAATGCTCAGACTTGCGGCCAGAGATGAGGGGTCGTGGGAGAACGGACATCCGTCACCGGCAAGACAATTGCCCATAACCCAGTACCTGTAGCAAATAAAGCAGGTCAGCATACTACGACCTCGACACTCGAAATGTTCCCAGAAGGCGAGACCTACTTGCAGAGATGATTGGTCAAGTCATGGCTAAACCGACAGTCCGCGCGGAGGCATTGCCCAGTCGACAACCAATATTTACAGACTACCGGGCTGCGATGGGGATTCGGAGAGGCCGGTGGTTTGGGCGGATCCATGGACATCGATTTCCCAACCACCACACGACCATCGTCCGCATGAATGGGCAGGCTATCTCCATCGGCACCCTGCGAAAGCGACGCGATGGTAGCTCCGAGATCGTAGCTGTTGGCCTCGAGAGCAGACTCGATCTCGTCATTGGATCTCTTGTCGCCGAGGACGGTGCGCAGAATATCATGAGGACTCATGTCCGGCACAAACTCGGGCGCGGTAGCGCTCAAGCTCGCATTTAAGCTGGCGGTCCCCAGCGACGAAGTTGTGCTATTGGCGTCGTCGGCCACCAACCAATCCACATTGCTATCGCTGCCAAAGTCCCCGTAGAAATCGGAGACTTGACTCTGATCGGAGAATTCGTATGCGTTCAGATTGGGGGAGTGCGGGATAGGTTGCGCGAGTGCGAGTCGGGGCGACGGGCGCGGGGACGTGAACGGCGAAACTGTCGAGGACATCGGGGGTCGTGTCGAAAGACCGCCTCGCGAGCCCGGAAACCAAGAGGTGCTGCCGGGGCTGGTCCCCAGATTGGAATGAGGGGACAGCGGTGTGGACGACCGCGCCATTTGCCATGGCGCGGGGGAGGAGCGACGAATGACGGTATGACGGGCGGGAGGGGGGGAGGAATCGGGGAGGTTGCGATTTCGATGGCGCCAAAGGACATCGAGGACGGTGTTCTCCAGAGACGAGCCCGACAAGGAGGTCTTTTTGCGCAGAAAGTCCTCGGCCTTCTCTGCCTGATCCTCCTCATCGAGAGCCTGATCTTGGAGGATCTGGAGGCAACCGTCGAGAATATCGTCTGGAACCATGCTGATCATGTGTTAAAGGGGGTCCAGAAAAAGGTCGGAGGAGGGAGGTGGTGTGGTCGGAGCGGTCCAGAAGTACACGGTGGACGGAGGGTGAGGGGTAACCAGGGAAAGCTGGAGTCGGTGATAAGATCGTCAAAACAGCTAGCAGGGACAAGAGGCCTAGAGCGCCAAGTCCATTGTTCTGTGTGTCAAGGAGTCGTCGAGATCGTCGCTGGGATGATTACAGGAACAAGCGAGGTCAGAGGGAGTCGACGGCGAGTATTGTGGCTTGGTTCTCGCGATCATCACATCGCATCAGTCGATGGAGAATGTTGGACCGATAAAGGGATGAAAGAAGGTGGAGATAAGCAGATGCACGGGAGGACCCGAGGAAACAGGAACGGAAAGGAAAGGGAAAAAGAAAAAAAAACACGAGGCTGAGAATAAAGAAGAACGAGACAGAAAAAGAAAGAGAGGGAAAAAGAGAGAAAAGAGCACAAAGCCACGAGGGGGTTCGAGATCGAGGAGTGGAAGAGAAGAAGGAAAGAAGAGGAGGATGAGAGGGAAAAAGGCGGAGATGAGATGAGATGAGATGAGGCGAGATTCACTTGCTTTGTTGTTGCCAATCATGCAAACAATCCCCTCGATTCAAGATTGCCACCCACGATAACACCCCATTCACCCACCTTGGTTCGGTCAGCTAGGGATTTATTCTATTTTCCATTCATCCATCTCGAGTCCTTGACTGTAGACCTGTACACCCTTCATCCCCTTCCCTCCCTCGGATATGGGGGGAAATCTAGACAGGCCCAACCGCGTCTTGGCGTGTCATCGCCTCCCAACCATGGATCGTCTCTATTTTCAACTCCGTTCCTGATCCTATACAGACCCGTGCTGAGTCTACTGACCCGATGCTTTCATCTCTTGGCTTCCCGGTTGTGCCTGTTCTCGACCTTCCTCGTTTTTTCTGGACATGAAGATATCCGCAATCTGCAACGGGACTTCCTGGACACCGATTTCATGGAGATTACTGCGATGATTTATACTATCTTTTGTATTCAACGGTTGTCTGGAATAAGTTCGATCCGAAAGCGACACCAGGAGTACTGACATCTTAGAGCCCAAAGGATCTTTTTTCCGGTCAGAAATAAAGAAATATTGCCAGTCGGGCTCTTCCACCACATGTCCAGAGACTACCCACTATATCCAACATATGCCTTTCCTAACATTTGACGCACATGCTAAATCCTCAAAATTAGCGCTGCCTGTATCATCAAAAGCCAGCCTGCAGAAGGCAACATACCGCGCCCGCCTTGAATGGCTCGCTGCACGCAGGCCTCTCCTCCGAGATACAGTTCGGCAGCACAGACACCGTAGCATCATAATCCACGCCGAAGAAGAATGGAATCGTGTGTCGCTCCTGGCCGGTCAGATTCACTACGCGATGCATAGTCGATTTGAACTTCTTATTGGTCCTGGATAAACGGGTGGTCGGTTAGTCGTGTCCAGAATATCAGATGTAACGAGTAGTGTTCGAAAGAAAGCATTGTTCGGTCTCATACCAGACGGATAAGCAATCTCCTATATTCACCACCAGGGTGCCGGGAATCGGGGGTGCCAGGATCCATTCCTGGCGGGTATTACTGTGAATCTGCAGAGCCGGGACTTGATCCTGAGCGAGGATCGTGAAACATTCATAGTCCTGTCAACCGAGCATCGAAGATCAGAAAAGCCAACGCATCAACTAGGTAGGAACAACAAAGGAATCAGATTACCGTATGGGCCCCAAGCCCTTCGGCAGTTTCGCCCTCCACTGGCTGCGGCGGATAATGCATCATCCTCACAGAAGCGCCCGGATACTTCATCTTGTCGTCGAAAAATCCCTCCTCCAGATCCAACGCCAGCGCAAAGATCCGCATTAACCGCCGCCCCAGGTCCAGCACCTGCGAAAAATAACGGAGATATGTTTCGCGCAACCCAGGGACGAGCTCATCGCTAGGCCATTGATTGTCGCCGTAGAGACTGAAAGGGTCCGGAGGCAGAACGTCATCCACGGTTCGTTGCGCGTCCCCTGCGATCTCATATCCGATGTCGAAGGACTCGGACAGAGTGCCCATTGTGTTATGCTCGGTGGGATCTTCTCCTTTGGAGCCGGTGGAGTTTTCAGAGTAGAGAGGCATGTAGCCTCGAAATTTCTAAAATGGGCTTATTCTACATCCATGGTACTGAAGAACTCGGGGAAGGGGGAAAGGGATTGGAAAGAATACCTTGGATTTTCCCAGATAGTAGGTCATTTTCTGGTCGTCCGGGAGAGAGTAAAAGCGACGAGCCACTGACTGAGCTTCCGTTATGAGCTCCTCGGGGATTCCATGGTTCTATCAGCAACAAACAATTCGATTAATGAAAGCCACAATCTTGGGAAACAACCAACATAAATAAGAAGGCTATACCTTGATATAGAAAAATCCGATATTAGTGCAGGCATCGTAGATCTGTCCTGCGAGCTTCTGGCGATCTTCCAAGTGCGGACTTCGAAGCTTAGACAGGTCGATTATGGGGATCTCAGCGACATCGGCGCTTTGCGGGCTTGATGGATGAGTGATGGACGGCGACATAGCTGAAATGGGTTGACTATTAGACAATGAGACTATGCGAGGAGAAGCTGAGTGTTGAACTCATATACTATATATACTCCCCGTTGTTCTTTTCGATCCTTCCCCGGATTTTCAGAGATTGAGGAACGAGGCAAGAGCGAGGGGAATCCCAGCCAGGAAATATTTGTTAGGAATATGTGGTTTCCGGATTTGTTTGCTCTTCTTTCGGTGTAAAGCACGTAATCAACACCTCGAATATGAATGCAGTGCATTGATGAATAGCCTATGACACCGATCCGAGCTGCCGGACGGAGTGTGAAGTAGGGGACTCTTGCAGCCAACAATGTAGGCATCAATTGTAGGCGGCCAGGTGAAGGCATACGTGTACCCACTGGCATCGAGTCCTTCTCAGGCAGGTTGAAGGGATGATCTGCAGTCTAGTCATCAATGACAACACTTCTCGGTGTTTTTCTTCATGTAGTTTTACTACACTGCAGGATGGACAGGCATTCCTCGGATTGCGGTTTCATGCGACATTGTAGATCCATGGGACATGTACAAGGAAGTCCCTAGCCCAGTTTCCAATCATCAAAGACTACACTTTCGTAAGAACAATACATGGAAGAATTCTATATAAAGGTGGCCATGGTGTTGGTGGCAGACAATGGAAATTATCTAGACAATCATATCCTATCTTGACGATTGAATACGATGACTCAATTCTCTCTGCCATCCGTCCACGCCGACGATGAATGGTCTTCTCTCAAGGCCGTCATCGTTGGCCGTGCCGGTCGAGCATGCTTCCCAAATGCTCCAGCGCCCATGATTAGGGCCACTATGCCCGCCGCTCATGTCCACCGGTTTCAACCTGAATCCCCATTTCCTGAAGACTTCATCGCAAAGGCAGAAGCAGAGTTGGATGCCTTCGCCGCCATTCTCAAGGCTGAAGGTATCAAGGTCTACCGGCCGCCGGATGGAATTGATTGGTTGGCGGAGAAGGGGTACACCGGAGCCATGCCCCGTGACGGGTTGATGAGTGTCCAAAATACCTTGATAGAGGCCTGCTTCGCCTGGTCCTGCCGCTTACGGGAGATCGAGTTGGCATTTTCTGACATCTTGAATGAACTCGCAGACGATGGCCGCGTGACGATCGTTCGGCGTCCGGCAGACACATTCGGTGATTCTTTGCTTGACGAGGATGGAACTGAATCAAACAAGTGGGCCATCAATAATAGCCGTCCGGCGTTCGATACGGCCGACTTCATGCGCTTCGGAAAGGTCATCGTCGGACAATACAGTCATGTTACCAATCAGGCGGGGGTCGATTATATTCAGCGTCATCTGCCAGCGGGGTACAGGATTCAGATGATTGAAGTTGACGATCCGCATGCAATGCATATTGATGCCACGATCCTGCCCCTACGAGAGGGCCTCCTGGTGTACCATCCAACCAAGGTGACCGAGCACGAATTGCGCAAAGTGGAAACCCTTGCAACTTGGGACCTCCAACCCTATCCATTTGTTCCACAAGAGCCCCAGGATCCCCCGTTGTTCATGACCAGCCCGTGGCTCGTGCTCAATGCTCTGGTTCTTGACGGGAAAAGGATGATAGTAGAGGCCAGCGATCGCAGGACGGCGGAGTGGTATGAGTCATTGGGGATGCAGTGCATTCCGTGCCCCTTCAAGCATGTCAACAGCATCGGGGGGTCTTTCCATTGTGCCACGACTGACCTGGTGAGGAATAACGGAGTCGAATTGGATGGGAAGTCGAACCCCGAGGGTTCCGGTTGAAAATGAATGTTTAGCTCAGAAACATGAACTAGCCAATTTCACTTCCACGGAACATGAGTCGTCATAAGCTGTAACTCCACGCAAATTGAGGACACAGGGATAATTAACCAACAGATAGACAAACAAAAAATTAATTATCGAGCTTCGTCAAACCTCGAGGTCTTGTGAGATGTTGAGTAGACCGGAAATGATGGATGCACCTGCACTATCCAAGCAGAAAGCAGAATTGACATCTCAACGGCACAGGACAACGTAAATATAGTCAGTAACTTAGCGAGCACCCCAAGTTTCGAGGAAGTGTGCAATTGAGGCATCATGATTACGAATTTACAGTTCTCTGCTGGTGAGCCGTGGCGAAGTGTTCGGCTACAAATATATCTGCTCTGCAACCCAGCGATTCTTACCGGCAATACTCCATGTCGGCATTCAGAGACTCAACAAAAGCTTCCTATCTTTCATCATGCATTATAAACGCACTTTCATCGGCATCGAAGCCCCCGAAGAATTAAACCAAACAGTCCATTATGCCCTCTCGGAGAGTGGAGTGGGGGACCGTACGCTCGCAGATCTGGGGATTTCCGTGCCTATTGGCCAGCCTCTGACGTACACTGCCCACCAGGGCAGAGCTCGACTCCGCACACTGGTAGCCAAATGTTATGGCCTCGATGCAGTAGATATTCTCGTGACGACTGTGGCTCCTCGGCGTTGTTTGTCGTGCCAACGGCTCTTTTAGACACTAATGATCATCTCGTGACCACACGCTCCAATTATCCCTCAAATATCGAAATACCACGAGCAATACGGTGTGATATTTCTTTCCTTGATTTGGATTTTTCATCTGGGTTTCAATTGGATGTCTCCCAGATTGCGGCAGTGCTGCAGCCGAACACCAAACTGATCAGTCTCACAGCACCCCTAATCCAACAGACTCCATGATCATCGAGGAACAACTCCGTAAAGTGGCCGATCTGGCTAGAAATCACAGCTGCTATCTCCTTGTGGACGAGACTTTTGCGGAGCTCATGAGCCCCAATCGTCTCCCTTGTGCGGCATCTCTAGGATCGCACGTCATTTGGGTTTCGTCCATGTCCAAAGCATACGGCGTTCCCAGTATCCGCGTTGGATGGATTTCGTCTAAAAACAAGCTGCTGCACGAGGCATTCCTCGTTGCCAAGGAACAGACAAGCATTACCGTAGGTGTGCTGGATGAATATGTGGCAGAGTGCATCTTGGAGCGACGCGAGGAGTTGCTGCAGCCGGTACGCTTGGAGATGAAGAGCAGGCGAGACCTTGTGGATGCTTGGGTTCAGGAAGAGGACATGGTGGAGTGGGTTCGACCAGAAGCTATGTCAATCGCATTAATACGCATGACGAGGGAGCCACCGGGAGGAGCCACGTCTTTCTATAGCCGATTGTTGAAGGAGCAAGCGACCTATGTCGGTCCGGGACATTGGTTCGAACTGCCCGAGACTTGTTTCCGACTTGGGTATGGGTGGCCAGCCATGGAGGATCTTAAGAAGGGATTAGCAGCCATCTCTCGGGCCCTGCGTGGCTAAGTGCAATTCCGAGGATTGCGAGAGTTCTTTGCATGTACAAAGGGTTATTGCGGCAATTCAACATCGAAGATGCATGGAAATCTAGCGACGTGTTCTACAGTAAGAGAGAGGGGAAGAGGGAGAGACCGTGAAAGAGACAGAGAAGAGAAGCGACGCCACCAAATGAATATGTAAGCAGCCGGTCATCGCCAAGACCGGTCCTCAGGCAGACATCATTGGATTCATCGCTATCCGTGTCTCCCTCTCCCTCTCATCCTCGTATCCATAAGCTGATTTTCTCATCCTAATGAATTATTCTTTCTTTGTCTTAGTCTTTTTCTTAAAAATGACCGTCTAACCGTTGAACGATTCTACTCCTTGATATATCCCTCGTCTCCTCACGTTCAAAGCTCCTCAATCCCCAATCGCCGACCGTCCTTTCAGTTAACTCCGCCTCCGCCCATATTCCGATCGCTGCTCCGTTGTTTTGCCATCCAAGAACGAACAACTCACCCGGAAGAAACCATACATGGGAGTCATTCGGGATATTTTTGTCCATTGAAAAGTATCGATTTGGTACTTCGTGAGCTTCCGAGTCTTTGCGCCCGTCGGTAATTTCCCAGCGCAATCCTCTCTCCACTCCACTCCGCCGATCTTTGCTCCAGAGCGCCGTGCAATATCCTGCGCGGGATTAGACCCTTAGATTGAAATACAACGGTGGCTCCGTTCCTTGGTCAGAATGCCGGCCGACTATTCATCTACGGCTCGCGCTCTATCGGTTTCGGCCTCTCCGCCAGCTCCTCTCTCGCCGTCAGCCTCCGACTCCTATCCGCCATGGAGCCGTTCGGGCGGGCGGAATCCCGCTAATTTGCCCAACAGTAGAGGACCGACCTCGTTGAAGGACCAACTTGTGAATCGAGCAATGGAAACATCACAGCGTCTGATGGCCACCTGGCAGAGGATGAGCTTTTGGCAGAGGGTGGGGGCCGTGCTAGCGGCGATACTTGCCAATGCCTTGGGAATCGGCTTTTTGATATTTACGGGCCAGGTCTTCGTCTGGTTGCAGCCGGTGGCCGCAAAGTGGGAACACTCGGCGCTGGTATTTTTCGTGCTTTGGCTATGCGTGTTCTTCGTGGCCCTACCGCCGCTGGTCGGATGGTCTACGTTTGGCACCATCTCGGGATACATATTCGGCGTATGGAAGGGGTACGTCATTCGCCTCTCTGCTTATCGGTTCGATGACCCTGGACAAGACTAATATCTCCGATAGTTGGGCACTTTACGCGTCGGCGACGGTGCTGGGTTCGACTTTTTCGTTCATTGTCTCCCGAACCATCCTCTCCCGGTTTGTCACTCGAATGATGGAACGCGATAAACGATTTGCCGCTCTTGCCTTGACGCTGAAGTACGATGGCTTGAAGTTGTTGTGTATGATCCGTCTCTGTCCACTGCCGTACTCGGTATGTAACGGGGCCGTGTCAACGTTTCCCACGGTCCAGCCGTTGATGTACGGACTTGCGACGGCACTCGTCTCGCCCAAACTGCTGGTGCCGGCCTTTATTGGCAGTCGACTACGGATTCTAGCGGAGAAGGGCGAGGAGATGAGCGCCGGATCCAAGGCGGTGAACATCTGCAGCATCCTCATTTCGGTTGCCGTTGGAATCTTCACTGGTTGGTACATATATAGAAGGTAAGAATGCGATGTGATGGCTAACCGCCTGCCCCTTGATTCAGTCGCTGACCAGCCACTTTCTCTAGAACCTTGGCGCGTGCCAAAGAATTAGAAGCGCAGGAGAGGGCCGGCATCCGTCGTTCTCTTCAAATCGACCACGCAGCTCATCGTCCCCATCAAGCCTTCTCGGAAGATCCGGATACTAACACTGCCGCCACCACCCTTGCGCGGGACGAGGAGGAACGACTTGGATTCCACGATTTTGACGACGACAACGTTGATCTGGTCATCGATGACGAGAGTGGGAGCGACAACTCCCCCTACCTGAAGACAGGATCGCGGGATTCGTACCGCGACGAGTTTACCGACAGTAACTCCGACGTCTTTCGGGATGGCGACGGCACGGAGGGTGAAACGTACAGTCTGCATACCCATGTGCGCAAGCCTTGAACCGGCCGCCTCTCTGTATTAAGTGGACCACTTGTCATCATGAGCGATGTTCTTATACGGATTAACGGGGGATTGTGCATAAAATCATATAATAGAGGCGCATTGGACGGTTGAACCAGGGAGGTCTGGCCGAACATGGGCCAATCCCTTGAGAACGAACACCTAGTAGAGAATCTTAATTACTGTAGTACCAGCCCTTGACCTGCGACAATGAATTATGGGTTAGCGAATGGGAAAGAATTTGCAACAGGACGACAGGGACAGCTGTTGCATGGTGCACAGGGACAGCTATTGCATGGTGCACAGGGGCGGCGATCGCAGCAGAAGGCGTGAAGAAGCCAAAAGCGAGTAGGGCTGACGGTTCGGACTGAAAAATACGCTGGTCTTCCGTTCCGCTCCGTCACTGCGAAACTTCGGTCTTGTCTCTTTCCCGCTTCCTCCCTACTTGCCTCTCTCTCTTTGCTTCCTACATGGATTACCCCGGTCCCTTTCCTGGCGCCTGGCGGATTGCTTCGTGTTTTGAGGCTACTACTGTCACTCTCCCGACTCCCTCTCCTTTCTCCTCACCCCCTTTCTCGCTCGGCTAATAAGTCGGGGCCACGCTACAAGACCTATATCACAGGTAAGTCGAACTATCCCTACATGCCTACCAACCCCCGGAGATTTTATTCCAATCTACTGTGGTCGTGCTTCTTGTTTCACTTGACCCTAGACTTTTGATTTGATCGAGTTTTGATCTTCTCCGTGTATCTTAATTCTCTGACATAACCTCAAGGATTGTCATACATCCCGCACTTCAAGCCTTTTGCCTCCCTACCATGAGTGGACCCACCATGGATGAAAACGCCGAGATCTGATACATCCCTTCGGAGAGCTCCGTACAATCTCGTGGATGGGGAAACGTTCTTAGTCCCAATCATCCACCTCTCAAGCAAATAATTTCTGATTGAGCTGGTTGGGAATTGTCTGATGATCATATAATCCCCCTTGGTAGAAGTAACACACATACATACATACATAACATCCTCAACTCTGGATTGATCAGGACACCCGGATCAGAGAGGCTCTCGCCATCGAGATGACGCCGTTCAGTCAAGGTTCATCTACAAATGCCGTCGTCAATGACAGAGGAAGACTCTCGCTGTTATCGTCTCATGCGACACTCGGGCAGCCATACAAGCCACCTAGCTCCGGGTTGGGAGAAGACGTGAACACAAACACCAATGTATACCCCTTTCCTCCTTCCAACAATAGCCTATTATGGAATCCTCAAAAGGCTCCTTTGACCCCCGGAGCCGACACTGGCTCTCAAAGTACCGATGATGTTTCCCGTGATCTCGATGCAGATACGGTTCGGGGTACGCCAAACGACTCTGCTACGACTGCTTCGTTAATATCCACGATCAGTCAGAAAAAATCAACGTCGCCCTTGGCCGCCCTAGATGCATTATCTCCGCTATCCTCCGCTGCAGACCCTAAGGGAACTGAGGGTAGACCCGGCTCTCCCAGATACCGTCCCAAGTCGTCCATCCCGTCAAGGCTCCCTGCTGGTGTTTATGCCCAGCAGTGCGTTGCGGCCGCGTATGCCTCTCGACTCAATCCATATGCTCTTCATAAAAAGGAACAAGACGCCCTACAGGACCAACTTTGTCATCTGCATGTCACCGTGTATCTGAATATTCGAAACGGCATTCTGCGGCTGTGGACTCGAAATCCCATCGTGAGTGTTACCAAAGAAGAAGCCCTAGGCTGCGCAAAGGAATATCGGTGGATGAATCTCGCCTCCTTCGCGTACGAATGGTTAATACGGAACGGATATATCAATTTTGGCTGCGTCGAGATCCCAACTGCCCTGGTGTCCAGCAAAAAGGGTCGCCGAAGAGATGGTCCCGTGGTCGTCGTAATTGGTGCAGGAATGGCGGGCCTGGGCTGTGCGCGGCAGCTGGAGGGCCTCTTTCAGCATTACCACGACCAGGCTGCTTCGCCGCGTGTTGTTATTCTGGAGGGAAGGCGCAGGATTGGAGGGCGTATTTATTCACATCCCTTACAGAGCCTTCGGTCGTCCAAATTCCCCCCTGGGCTCGTTCCCAAGGCCGAGATGGGGGCGCACATTGTTGTAGGCTTCGACCATGGAAACCCGTTAGATCAGATCATCCGAGGCCAGCTGGCTCTTTCGTACCATCTATTGCGCGATATTTCAACCATTTATGACATAGATGGCTCTCCGGTGGATGAATTGCGAGACGCCATGGACGAGAAGCTCTATAATGATGTTCTGGATCGGTCGGGTTTCTATCGACATAAATCAGTTATCGTCCCTACGGCAGAGGGGAACCGAGAATTCATCAACTCTGGCCGAGACGTGTCAACGAGCGACGGACTCACAGTAAGGCAATACGAGGAGGCCAGGGCATCTGGCACCATTGGACAACTGTTTCCCAACAAACGTGTCCGCCGGGGGGTCGGTCATAAGACTGCCGATATCAAGACAACGGGGGCCGCCGGGACAGACCTCGATCGCAACGAAGAAGATCCGGTCGCCCTAGCTTCTCAAACAATGGGGTGGAAATTGAATCCCGGGGTCTCGGTGAACGATACTCTGAACCTCGGTCCCATTGCGAAGGCCTCGCCGTCCCAGACCCTCGGTGCTGTCATGGATGACGGCATCCGACAGTACCAACGCATGCTGCAATTGTCGCCGAAAGACATGCGATTGCTAAATTGGCATCTTGCCAATCTAGAATATGCCAACGCCACCAACATCGACCAGCTCAGTCTTTCTGGGTGGGACCAGGATATAGGCAATGAATTCGAAGGAGAGCACTCGCAGGTCGTGGGTGGCTACCAGCAAGTGCCGTACGGACTGTATGCATGGCCGACGAAACTCGATGTTCGACCGAACAAGTCCGTGTCCAAGATCACATACGACCCGACCGGAGTCGGAAAAAAGACAGTGGTTCAATGTGAGGACGGTGAGTCGATCGTGGCGGACAAGGTGGTTTTCACCTGCCCGTTGGGAGTTCTTAAACACGGTTCGATACAATTCTCGCCGCCTCTTCCCGACTGGAAAGTCGGTGCCATTGATCGACTGGGTTTTGGCGTCATGAATAAGGTAATCCTTGTGTTCGAGCAGCCATTCTGGGATACCGAGAGGGATATGTTTGGGCTTCTCCGCGAGCCTCAGTCTCGAGACAGCATGATGCAAGATGACTACTCGGCGAATCGCGGCCGGTTCTATCTATTCTGGAACTGCCTGAAGACGACTGGCCTTCCCGTTCTCATTGCTTTAATGGCCGGAGACGCTGCGCTTCAAGCGGAGTGCACGCCCGACGCCGAAATCATCGCGGAGGTCACTAGTCAGCTCCGCAATGTCTTTAAGCACGCTGCTGTTCCGGACCCATTGGAGACTATTGTAACGCGATGGCGCTCGGATAAGTTCACCCGCGGCAGCTACTCCTACGTAGCTGCTCAAGCACTCCCAGGGGACTACGATGCAATGGCCCAACCGATTAGAAACCTCCACTTTGCAGGTGAGGCCACCTGCGGCACCCATCCTGCCACCGTCCACGGTGCGTACCTGTCTGGTCTGCGAGCAGCGTCGGAAGTCATAGACTCAATTCTAGGACCGATCCATCTGCCGCATCCGCTGGTCCCAGAGAGAGGCAAAGCGGACTTCTTCTCAGTCAACAGCCCACCTACCAGCGGGCAGAAACGCAAGCAACCGACCGCGGCCTCCTCCCTCGCCACATTAGAACCAGCCGCTCCGCCGGCGCCCAAATCCCCCGAAGTCGCCCTTCGAGAGGCCTACGAACATGCCATGTGGGCGGCCATCCATTCCGAAATAGGACCGCCCATCCCTCGACCGGCACGAACCGTCGGTCTGAACCCTTTCCTCCTCTACCAGAAAGACTACTGGGGCAAATGCCGCCTCCAATGTGACGAGGCGCGCCGCAAAGCGACGAACGACCCCAACGCCAAGGCCCCGCGCGACGAGATCCGCCACGCCCTGGGCCTGATGTGGCGACAGGCCGCCGAGGACGAGAAACGACCCTACATCGACCAAGCGGAGGTCAATCAGCAGACGAACGCTGAGATGAGTTCCAGCTGGCGGCAGAAGATGGCCGAGTGGGAGAAGAAGATGGACAAGGTGAAAGAGCGTTGGTGCGCTGCGCATCCGTTTGATTCGTGGAAGTCGGAGACCGCAACGGATGCGATTAGCGGTGGATCGGGTCCTGGGCTGGGTGCTAATGTCGTGGCTGATGTTGGTGGTCATGCTAGTGCTGATGCCAATGTTGATGCCGCCAGTGTCGATGCTCCCGGTGGTGCTAGTGGATCGCAGCCCCAGAATCCTTCTGTTCAATCGACTAAGCAGTATATGCCTTCATCGAATGCGACTACGGCGGAAGTCAATTCGACAGGACCATCTTTCCTCTAGACACATTCAGTCTCTTTCCCTCTCCCTCGTCTCCCTCCTACATCTGGACACAAAACGACCACATCGTCACTCAAGAACAGAGTGAACGAGAGTGAACGAGAGAAAAAGAAATCCGACTTAAAACGATCTCTTCAGAGGACTGAATATGGATGAAATATCCATACATGCCAGAGTACCAACACTCCCTCCTCTTTCACTTCCACCCTATCCCCTCACTCGAGGGAGATCAATCATAACTCATATATTATTTACATTCATATTTACTGTAGTACTAAGAAATTCGTGTCGTGTCATCTCGCAAACTACTTACCAGGTACTATTCTTTTTCATTTTCTTTGATCAGTAGATATATAAGTGACTTTCAAAAGGGTAAGCAAGCAGGAAGGCTGGCTGGGTCAAATTTTCTTTTGTTTAATCTAAGCTTGAGTGCTTAAGACAAGAAGATAATTGATCAAATGTTCTCTTAATGGCATCTGTCTAGTTGTATCATGGTAGATATGGGGAGATCTAGACAAGGAGACCAACGGAAAGAAACGAGGAAATCTAAGCAAGCAAGCAAGCAAGCAAGCAACTCTCTCTGTTTCATCAAAAAGAATTCTCTCGCACCAGAAAAAAAAGATATATGTCTATAAAATCATTGAAAATTAATAGAAAAAGTAAAACAATAATCCGCTGACGTCTAAGTATAAGAGTGATAGAAACCATCCAGAAACAAAGAGATGTGAAAAGAATAATCATCCGGGACATGAGACATGATAGAATAGTGCGCCGCATTCAGTCAGCGTGACTGACTGAGAAGGGGTCTAAATCATTTATGATGAGATGATAAAAAGAAGGTCTAAAAGATCAGAGGTGGGTAGATAGATGGATAGATGTTTTCGACAGGATTTGCGCTTAGAGAAGAGGGTTTTGCTTGTATTCGGCTCCGGTGCCCTCGGTGTCGGTCTTGGTTTCGTTGGCGGGGGCCTCTGCGGAAGAGTGCTCGGCGATGAACTTCTCGGCGTCGAGAGCGGCCATACAGCCGGAACCTGGAGGGGATGTTAGTGTACTGATGAGAGAAATACGGAAGGGGCAAAAATGAGCGTACCGGCACTGGTGATGGCCTGGCGGTAACGCTTGTCCTGGACGTCACCGCAAGCGAAGACACCGTCGAGGCTGGTGTAGCTGGTACCGGGCTTAGTGATGATGTATTGTTCATCGTCGAGGTCGAGCTGGCCCTTGACCAGAGCAGTGGCGGGGTCGTGGCCGACGGCGTAGAAGAGACCGTTGGCGTCGACGACCTCCTCCTGGCCGGTGACGGTGTCCTTGACGCGCAGGTGGGTCATCAGACCCATGGGCTTGTTCTCGCCCAGAACCTCGGTGGCCACGGAGTTGAAGCGAACGGTGACCTTGGGGTGGGCAAGCAGACGGTTGGCCATGGCCTTGCTAGCGCGCAGCTGATCGCGACGGACCAGGACGGTGACGCTGCTGCCGTACTTGGCCAGGAACATGGCCTCCTCGGCAGCGGAGTCACCACCACCGATGACGTACAGGGGCTTGTTGCGGAAGATGGGCACGGCACCGTCGCAGACGGCGCAGGCACTGATACCGTTCTGCCAGTAGGTCTCCTCACCGGGCAGGTTCAGACGGCGAGCGTTGGCGCCAGTGGCAATGATGACGGCGTCCGCGGTGTGAGCGGGCTCGTTCTCAGGGCCATCGTTCCATTCGGTCCACAGTTTGAAGGGTCTCTGGGACAGATCGATCTTAGAGATGGTCTCGGTGATCACCTCGGTTCCGAATCGAATCGATTGCTTGCGCATGTTCTCCATGAGCTCCGCGCCACCAATGCCGTCGGGGAAACCGGGGAAGTTCTCGATATCGGTGGTGGTGGTGAGCTGACCACCAGCGGCGGTGCCGTTGGCCAGCATACCCTCGTAGAGGACAGGCTTGAGTTCCGCTCGCGAGAGGTAGACGGCGGCGGTGTGAGCGGCGGGGCCGGAGCCGATGACTAGTTTTGCGGTTAGCGATATTTCTTCAAGCCCATTCCTCAAGAACACAGGAGATACTCACTAACGACAGGAGTGTGGACCATTCTGACGGTGGAATTGACGCGCAGTGGCGTCGAGAGCGGATTTGATAGAACCGAGGCAGACGGAGGTGACTGGTTGTGCAGGGTGGTTGCAGCAGCAGCAGTCAATCCAAGAGAGGAGCGAATAGAAGAGAAATTAAATCGGCGAAAGGCGGAGGAAAACAGCTTGCCGGTGTTGAAGGGGTTGGGGGAAAGAGACGAAGGAATTGACCGAGAGTCAGGGGAGAGAGAAGAAGAGGGAGGAGGGCAGGTTAAATTATTATTTCAGTCTCTGGCACGGCGAAGAGGCGAAGAGGGGCGGATTTCCGATGGTGGGGACTTGCGATTAGCTAAGGAGAGCGATTAGTTCATCTGGTCGGGGAGGAGGAGGGACTAGACTGGAACGCACGCGATGACGATGACCAATTGATGCTGAGTCAGGGACGATAGATCAAACCGGTCAATTGATAAGATCTGGAGCGACAGGCGGATACTTGCAGAAGAAAGAGAATGCCGAGGGAGAATAATGCGAGCCGAAGCATCAAGAAGCAGGAAGGAGCAAAGATTAGGAATCATCCGCGGCGAGACCTGGTCACGTGTGGCTTAGGCAGCGAGTCCGGGCCGAGACCGCCTGTGCTTATCGATCAGTTATCGTGGGCATACATCTCAAGTATGAAAGAACTGAACATTCATTGCTTCGGAGTAATACATTTAGATCGTTCATAGGTACATGGCTTAACTCATCATTTCATCAATCATCATGTCATCGACTTCATCTCCCTTCCTCACCGCCCCTCAGGCCAACCCAAACCACTTCTTTCGCTTTGGTGTCGCTCTGACGCCATCCTCGTCCTCCGCTCCACCTGCGCCCATCGGGACCAACGTCTCCGGAGGCATGCCAGCCCCGTCGTAATAGTCCCGTCCGCTTGATCGTCTCTGACCGCCTCCTCCTCCCCGGTTGTCGTAGTCATCATAGTCATCGTCCTCGTCTTCAAGTTCCTCGTCGGTCGCCATCTCGGCTTCGGTATCTTCAGCCACGGCGTGGCGGTCCGCCTTCTTTCGGCGCACTCCCAACCATTTTCTCCATCCCTTGGCGACCGGCGTCGCGGGGGGATCGTATTCGTTACCCTCGAAACGGAGCATTGGTACAAGCATCTTGTACGGCGTAGTGATGCCGGAGGGGTCGCGCGGGTTCAATTCGAGGTTCAGCGTGATCGCCAGTCCACCCTCCAGGTTGACAAAACCGCCGGTGCCATCGTCGCCGTGCTTCGCGCCTCTCTTGGCGGTCTTCTGGCTGAGGTTGGTAGGTCGTCGCATGAAGGGACCCGGCCGGAACTCCGCGGACTGCTGATAATACGAGTCTCCGGTCTCCGCGGGCGGGAATGGGCCGTCCATGCTCATCCGTCGGCCGTTGGGTTGCCCACCAAGATTGAAATCCTTGGTAGGTGGTTTGCCTCGCTGCGACAGTCGACGAAGCAAGCCGCCGCCGCTACCACCACCACCACCACCACCACCACCTTGGGATCGGTCCCCACGGTTGAGCGAGAGTGTTCTTTGGAGCTTGTTTGGACGAGGCTCCTCAAGGGAAAGAGCTTCCATGTCTGGAGTCCCTGGTGGTGTCGAGCCTATCCTCGGTCAGAAGATGATTTTGATTGTCTAAGACGGGTCCAACGCCAACTTACCAGGTTGATATTCTCGGATGGCACACCAGTTGCGCCGGGGAAGCAGTCGCTTGTTATTCCGCGGCTTGTTATTAACGTCGTGAGTGAACATAGAAATCATATCTTCGTCAGTATTGGTGTCCAAATGGTGCACACGATTGCGCTTGTTGAGCGTATCCGAGACCACATCTGTCTGGGGCATGTCCGCAATCGATGAGGAGATGATGTTGGGCATGTATCGATAATCCCTATCTTTGGGGACGTTCAGTTTCGGGTTTGAGTAAAACTCGCCGATGGCAGCCAGATGCACGTCACCACTATAAACCCTTGTCAGCTCAATGCTACAGTCGAACGATGAGAGAAGATCCTACCTCAGGATGGTCACCCGCACAGATTTGTCTGCCGCAAGATCTTGGAGATCCTCGATCAAGTATGTGCGTTCGGATTTGTGATTTTTCGCCGTCCAATGGTCGTCGAAGATCTCGACCTTGCCGCCGTTCTTATTGACCAAACCACCTAACATGCCGGCTTTGCCCAGGGTCTTTCTGCTGTTCAAGATGTTCTTCACCATAGCCTAGTATGTGTTAGTAAAATGATGAAGCGAATGGGGAATGGCTACCTACCACCCGGGGATACGCCAGCGGAATGCTTAACAAAACCAGCAAGTGCTTGGTTTCGCCTCTGACAATTTCACGGTGGCATCGGTCCCAGATCAAGTCGCACGTCTGCTCACTGAGAATTTCGTCGCTCTAATATCATTAGCACTGCTTGTATGCAAGAATCAGCGTAAAATATCTCACCATTCTTTCCGTCCTGCAGTCCAATCCAAGAAGAGCCACTCCGTCGCCCAAGGACATGAACAGGTTGCGACTGCGTTGGTTAATATACGGCCCTGGTTGGGCTCCAAGCAACCAGCTCGGCTCTTCCGCCTCGGTCTCCTCCGGAACGCTGTGGTGCTGGAAGAGCAGATAGTATTTGTACGCGATGTTGCCCAGTCCGGAGATCACAGGTGTACCCATGAACTCGTCGGAGTAGGATCCAAACCCTTCGATGATTTCATGGTCATTCCACATGTTGATCGTGGGGATCTGCGAGTTTGCCAGCGAGTAGAGCCCTTGCGAGAACCACGTGGAATAACGCTCAAGGAACGCGGTCTCCAGCTCCCCTCGAAAGTCTGGGGTAAACGGAGCTTCGTACTTCTCATGCATGTTCTTGATCTTGACCCACTCCTGGAAATGGGTTGACTCCGTAGTGATTTGATCGTTGAAGATCTGATCTCCGCCGCCGATCATAGCGTGGAATGGACGCGTCTGGTGCTCGTTGAGGACATCTCGCCACAGAGGGTCAGGTCCGCAGAGCCTGTCTGAGTCGACGCCGGGACTGAAGCCGTTGCAGGTGTGGAACATGATATTCATCGACTGTCCTCTCGCAGGCACCCAGAATCCCAAAGCCGGGCCCTGGTTGAGGCGATACGCGACTCGTTGCTGGGTCGGTCCTAGCTCGATTTCCAGATTGAATCTCCAGAAGGTGACATCTCTTCCGGGATCTGCATAGAGGCGAGCCCCCGCGATGTCCTTGTAGACTTCGGCCGTCTCTCCGTCCATTTGGTGGAGCCTATTGGCAGGTACCGGCTGCTTCATACCCTCGCTGCTGTAATCGATGATGCTAGGGGATATTTCGTAGATGCCGTCGTCATTCTCCACCTGCGACAGATCCACTTCTTCCTCGGTGTGGTCCACCGGTTTCACGTAGAGAGCCCTGCCGTCGCGACCTAACTTCATAAGCCCGGCGGTCGGATCTACGTACTCGGGAGGAAGCTGAGCCTCTTCGCCGCTGACTACAGCTGGCGGGGGCGGCAAGAGATCCATTGGCTGGGAAAACAGTCTTAACGTGGGCGCTGGTTCATAAGTAGATCGGGAATCCTTTGTCACGATCAGAATACTACCCCTCCACGTCTCCTTGTCGAACGGACCCTTGGGGCTGTCGATTCGCACCCTCTTCAGTCCAGCATAGCGAAGCAACGGGCCGCTCTTCAAGAAAAGTTGAGGCTGGAAGCGGTTTATTTTTGCTGTGCGGTCGAGTCAGTCTGCATGTTCTGTAGTACCAAGACAAAGCCCGAGAGACTCGGTCAGCTACTTGATGTATTCATTACTCACAAGTTAATCTCTGAGCCGGAGGCTTTTGATAATTGTTCGGCAGCGCTCTGCTTCGTCGGCGATCCTTGCCTCCGCCTTCCCACCATGCCTTACTCCGCTCCTTGTCGAAGTGCTGGAATTCAAAGTCAGAGGCTCCAAGCCTTGCGATCGGTGCTGTCCTCCATTCCGAAAGAGGAGGGGGCGTGGGCGGCGGCACGTTAAATGAAACCGTCTGCTTTTTAGCCTTGGGCTGCGGAGGCGGTTCGTTCTCGAACGGCGCCGTCATTTGGTCGGAATCAGGACTGATAGGATCAGATGCAACGGAGCTTTCAACTGCATACGAGCCTCTGCGAGCCTGTTGAGGTGGGATTCCCACCGGGGGGATATCCTTCTTCTTCATTGATTGCGCTCTCGCTCTATTAGGAGCGGCTCTAGAGTTAGCGTAAGGTGAGTTCCCCCAGGTTTGAACATCAGCCTGTGCCGCGGGTGCGATTTTAGGGGCCTCTTGCGTTGAAATGACCCGAGGCATCGGAGCGTTGTTGGGAAATCTGCTGTCCCGATGGATGGGTTGATTGACCGAGCGCGGGTCGACACGATTACCACCCCCCTGATGGCTCACAGACACTGACCGTCTCGGGGCGCTGCCTGTTTTGATGATGGGAGCAGCAGAAGGTCTATCATCGGAATACTCTGAGTATTGATAAGACGGTCCTCTGCTGCGAGTAGATTTCGACTTGTCGATCGGTCTGTGTTCGCGATGATCCATGCCGTCACCCCCTTCGGAGGCATATCGTCGGTGGTCAGATCGTTTGGGGGGCTGTTTCACAGGCTGCGGTGGCATCGCCGATCTTTCAGGTCTATGTCTCTGGGAGACACCCGCCTCAGCATCGGGGACATCCCGTGTTGATCTGCGCTGGGATTTTTTGGGTGCCGGGGGCGGAAGGTTCTCGCCGCCATTCTGCTGGCGAGTCATACGTTCTTTGAGTCTCATCTCTGCTTCTTGGACTCGGGCGCGTTTCTCTTCTTTGCTGATTCCGTTCAACGTGACCTCTAGCTTTTGGAGAGGCGATCGGTCTGAAGCCCAGTCTCGTCGCTGCTCCGACGTAGAACGGACCGTATCCGACCGTTTTACCGGCTTCGGCTCACCGTTGCTATTTGATGGCACCGATGCCTTGCGTACGACAGCACCATCGTCCCCGGGAGTAAATTCATCGTTTACAGGGCGAGGCTTTCGCGAGACTGGGGGCTTGGGTGAAACCAGGGGCTCTGGCGAGACTGGCGGTTCAGGTGATGCTAGCGGCTCAGGAGATGATGGGGGTTCCGGCGATGCTGGATGCTCAGGCGATGATGGAGACGCAGGCCATGATGGCGGTTCAGGTGATATAGAAGGCTCCGGCGATGATGAAGGTTCAGGCGATACTGGAGGCTCAGGTGAGAGTGGTTTCTCGATTGAATCTAGACTCGCCTTCGGAGGAAGGTCTTTAGCTCGAGCGGAGAACGAGCGGTCCACTTCCTGTGTTTTTGGCGCGGGAGCGTCGACCTTGGATGGTTTGGGGTGCGTGCGGGGCATATCTGAGCTTCTGACATCTGATTCAGAGTCGTCCTCCGTGTCCGTGTCAACAGGTTTGGGAAGCTCAGCTAGTTGACGGGTATGTAGTACTGCTGGGCGCAATGCGCCATTGGAGGGAGGAGGCGGCGGCGGCGGCGGCGGTGGAGGAGGAGGAGGAGGAGCAGCCTTGGAATCTCGTAGAGTTGGAGGAGGTGGTGGTGGTGGAGGAGGAGGAGGAGGGGTGTTAGACTGCTGTGGAGGAGCCTTGGGATTCTGTGGAGGAGGAGGAGGAGGAGGAGGAGGAGGGGGGGGCGTCTTGGAATCCCCGTCCGTCGGGGGCTGAGATGCGACGGCGGCCATTCTTCCAATGACTTGATTCCTGTGCCACCGTCCAGAGAGGCTCGGACACGTGGGGAGTGACTTGGCTACCGGGGTTACGTGGGATTGATTTGCTGCGGTACCTGTCTGACCATCTGTGAGTGTCGAATCTCCACCGGTCAATCGCTTTGGCCTCTAAAGAGCGCGAAACTGGCCTTGCATGAGCCGGAGTTGGGATTGGAGGCACATACTTGGTTCGGGGCCTTAGTAGATGCAGGTCACTTAAGCAGAGCGATGCGTAATTGGAGCGATCTTGCAATTGCCTGTCGCGACCCAATGATTTTCAGAAGACAAATGGATTGAATGTCAATTTAACCGATAAGCGACAGAAAAACAAAAAATAATTAACAGTGCATGCTGAGAGCAGCGAGTAGATCGATAGGCAGACTCGTCCGATCTGACGCCGGCAGCGGTGGGGAAAGGGAAGTATACAAGTCACGTCAAGTCAATGTGGGTGAATTCAATGAGACAAGAAGGAGGGGAGAGGAGATGAACCAGGAGAGAGGAATACAGATGATGACACTAGTCGTCGAACACCAAAAATCCAACCGAGAGAAGCGAAAAAAAGATGCGAGGGCAGGAAAATGGAATATATCGCGAGGAGATTAAGCCGGTGGCTGGAAAAGAAGCCCAGCCCTCATCATTGCGGGGCCCTTCTCGTGCTGCACAAACCTCCGTCGTCAGGCACGTTTCTAAGAAAAGAACCATTGACGAAAAACTCAATCGAAAAGAGAAGACAAAAATAAAAAGAAAACAAGGCAAATTACAGGCCCAACTGCCCTTCGCAGCCCGACCATCCAATCACACCGTATAGATCCCATCGCCGATCCATCCAACAAGCGGTGTGTCTACCGAGTACCCCCAGTAGGAGAAGGGCTCCAGGTCGGATTGTTGGCCTGTCATTCGGTGTCGGAGAATTGGGACAATTGGAAAAAGACAGGGAGATATTCTGTGTATCCGACATTGTGTTTGAGTTAGAGACAATGTCTCGACGCCGAGGCTTTCTCTATATATTTGCGGATGCCACCCCTATACCCAAGATAATATAATGATGACTGCCACCATCTGTTAAACATGCCAGGTGAAGACACAAGTTAAGTAATTCAAGATACTCTGCTGTAAAAGGAATGAGAGAGAAAATCAGATATAAAAATAAACCATCATAACAGAAATCGTGTTAATGATAGTTAATTGGGAGAAAATAAGATCTACTACTACTACACCGGGCGAGAAAGTATACAACTGAAACTAGAGGGTCGAGGGCCACTCGTATAGCCCTAAGCGAGATTCCTCCCTCGATTCTAGATAACCGTTGTCCTTTTTCTACATGGTGCCTGACTGATCGCTATTGTTACTACCAAATTGGATTCCTAAACCGAGCGACTTTTCCTTTCCGCTTTAGGCCCGACTTGGCGCTGCTTTTGGCTCACTGAGCGGCCCCGAGCGTGGGGTAAGCACAAAAGTGCGTGGCCTGAGCGCTTCTTTGATTGAGAGGGGTTTGAAAGAGGTTGATCAAAGCTCCAAGACAGTCTATTGCTGATTGTTGATTGGGCCAGTCAATAAACCCTATCACAAAATCATTTTCTGTGAAATCACACTCCAGTCTGGACAACCCAGGCGGTTTACACGTCAGTATTTCGAGGCGCAGAGGGCTCTTGACCTCCCCCGCTCGCCTACAATGGAACATGTAGTAAAGTATATATGCGTCATGGATAAAAATAGCCAGGCTCTAATGATATCCAGATTGAATACACGCTTATACTGGAAATTAACTCATGGTTGGCTGATGCTCTCCACAATGAACTCGAGATGCTTTAGTTCTTGTATAAATCCTTGTTCACTTGCTTCTTAATCGAGTTCCTTGGGTCAAATCCTCTGCGGATGGACACGTAGGCATTTCAATTCATACACTGCCCGATTGATCTCCTCCACAAACCCTGGCTTCCGGCGATTCTTAGGATCAGATTCAATCGACTTACACTTCCGATTTGGGGACAGTATTCCCAGTATCAGCCGTTGCTTGATGATTTCCGCCCTTTAAAAGTCAAAAATAACCACCGTCTTTATTTCCGGGTTGTACGACCAATTCCGTGGTGCTGGATCTTTATGGACGAAATTCAGGGCATGTATCGCAGACAGTGACTCTTTCAATTTGGAGATAAGACGATCGCAACCTATTGCGCGGAGAGAAATATCCGTAGGTTGCCCTCCTGGGCTTAACAGCATCATATATTCCGGATAGGCGATCCCATCGTAGCTATAGGGATGATCCAAGTCAATGCTCCTTAGATAAAAAGGAATGTACTGGCCCTGAATTGAACGGAGCTTGTCATATATAGCAGCTTCGTGGTGAAGGTGATCGCGGAATTTCAACTCGGTACATTTTGCAGGGACGGTGTACCCAAGCGAGGAGAGCGTTACTTTAAGAAGAGCGCCCCGAGAGTCGTGTATATCGAGAATTTCGCAATTTGCGTTAATAGTCTGAGACAGCTGACGCTTTAATCGACTAAGAAAGGTTTTCGAATCAATTGTATGGCGCGTTGTTCCATGATCACGGACATTAGGACAAGCCTGATCTAGATCTTCCCCACGTCCTTTCACCATCCCATGCAGACATCTGAGTGTGTAGTAACGCCGCTGATTTTCCTTCCTGAAAGAACTTTGGGAAGATGTGGGAGGACTCAAGCGAGCCGATTCTGGTTTTGTCCGTCTTGATCGTGAAGGACGCTGACTCCGGCTCGGTGTGTTGGGGTTTTCTTCCTCGTCTTCAGGGTCACAATGCCATTGTGATGGTCGACAATCTCTCGGAGTGGGCCCATGTCTCTTACGGCGTAATTGTATTGGAGATCGAATAAAACCTTCGCTTCTTGGTGGGCGATATTCAGACGATGGAACTTCCTTATTCGAAATCTCACCCAAAGCGTCCGCAAGTATAATTTCCCATTTTGGCAGTGTATTCATTGCCTGTAACCCGCAGGTCTGGCTCCGCTGTTGCAACTTGAGCGCCTGGAGTGTAAAAGCAAGAGATTGACCTACGGCGGTCAAATGTAGACGATTGGGATAGTTAGAGTAAGGATCCCATCCGGTTTCATCTCCAACGTCCCCCTTAGGAACGGAAAGGTGGTAAAAGAGTACAGAGGGATCTTCGCCAGTACTGAAGACTCCCACTTGGGTATGAGCACGAACCATATAGTCAAAAGGCTGTGACAGGAGTCCAACAAGCGCTCGCTGGAACCGAACTTTTGGGGTCTCATCATCAGTCTGTATCATGATTTCTTCGATATCCATGTCATCCAATCCTTCGTATATAAGGCCTATCTTGACTTTGTGCGGAGACTTATATTCTTTGATGTACGCTGCGACACGATGAGTATATTCAGACAATTCGTTTGGAATATTGTAAACGCAGAACTGATTAGCACGAGGCCGTTTAGTTAGGACCGGCTGTGGTGTTTTTGGTCGCCTGCGAAAAGAGGTCTGTAAAATTTCCATCTGATTATCAAGAATCTGCAAGTCTGCATAGTCCTTCTTGAAAACTGCATGAATAAGCCGTGTCTCTTCGTACCCTACTTATATCTTAGTTGAGTCAATGGTGAATAAGGCGGGGGTATATACTGACCACGTGTCGGCAGAGAAGTGGTACAATTGACAATGATCAAATCTTGGATCATACCATCTACTCGCCAAGGGTAATACTGGCCATTCTCGTGAAAACGCATAATGTGTTCGTTGATTCGGTCTTGTTCCCGGGCAATCTCCACTGCCCATTTCTGGCCAGGAATCCAAAAATCGACTCGGCCTTCTGTGGTCCTGGACCACTCGGTACAGACTGGCACACCTCTACCGGCTATCTTATTAAAACACTGATAGAACTCGTCTTGATACTGTGCCTCAATTGGTTTTAGCTGTGCACCACTTGACAATGTCTTGCCTTGGGCTGAGTGCGTCAGATTCGAGCTTGAAAGTCAAATCTCGTAAATTTTGGAATTCGGAGGGTAGACTTTTCGCTCTTTTTGCGATGTAGTGTTCGATCCACCTAGGAATGGTTAGAATAATGCAATCAAAAGATCTGAAGTGGACACTTAGACGAACATGCTTTTCATGTAATTCGTAACTATCCTCGATGATTGAGGATGCAATCTAACATGTTTCCAGCTGGCTGCTTCCTTGTTGGGTTGAATAAACTTCTGCTGAACTTGCGTCTCCATGTTGGGTGAGCGAATGAAGACATTTTTGACAGACAATATCCAGCTGTCCGTCCTTAGACGTTCCCGTGAACTCTTTACAAGGACAGCAGACGGTAAGATTCCCGATCGTGACGGGAGAATTGCACTTCCCGGACATAATTCGCAGAACTGGAAACTTCGAGGTTCTTGTCGAAACTGGCGTGCCTGTAGTAGTTGAATGACTAGAAGCCATAGTGTATGGTATCAGCCTCACATCGAATATCTCGCATCGAATATCGAAATGAAAATGAAAAATAGATAGACCGTGGACAATACCGTGGGAATTGAGAAATAGCCAGCGTTCCGCGGTGATGGCTTGCGTCGTGTCAAAGCGGGTTCATTTTCTTTCACTGCTGAAGAGGTAAGTTCACACCTGCAGGTGACAATGAAGGTGGTTCTTGAGCTGACTGGATGGTTTGAACGGAAAAGTCGGGGTGATGACCTTTCTCCCCACCCGCGATAGGATCTGGCAATTCCCCACCCATCAAGTTGTCAAAAATGTCCAGTAATTTACGCCTCCTGATTTTTTTACTTGACTTCTTCACTCAAGAAATGCAGATCCAATTTCACAAAATCAGCTTGCCAGAGAGGATTACCGGGGTGGCAAAATGCAGGACACGGGGTGACTGGTCCAGTCAGAGCCAAAAGCCGGAGAAAAAAAAAGGAAATGGTGGGAAATAACCCAGTGTCAAGAGGGAAAGTTGGAGCTATGTAGACCACTGCGATGCCAAGAGGCACCTGTATATTATTCCTGAATAAGCAAGCTATACTATATCTAGTAATTCGCCGTCACTGCAGACTAGTTACGGAGTAGTTATTTGTTAACCCGTGCACCGGTTCTAGTCCGGTAAGGAACCTGTGAATAATGAAATCGCTCATATACTGCCCCCCAGATAGGATTTACAGTTCACTGATACACTAACTATTGAGAGCCAGCTAGTGAAATGACAGCAGGAATTTCTGGATCAGCGTTGATCTCCAAAATGCTTGGAATATCATCGTCCATTTGATCTTCAGGGACTACACCAACATCCAAATGTCAATGGGAGATATGAAGCCTCTTCTTGGCTTTGTCTAATAATCTGAATAACGGGGCCCGTATTCGTACAATAACGGGGCTGCCTGCTCAATGTATGCGGATCACTGCAAGGAGCCCCGACTTCAACGTGTCTTCTCTGGTGCCCCTAGCCAGGACTCGACCTGATGGGATAAGAATAACCCCCCGTTCTTCCTCACAATAAACATAGTTAATACGAAAAAGAAGTACCCGATCTTTATCTTTAGCTACCTCAAAGGCGCCATCTGCAGACCCGCCAAGAGTCGGTGGCACTCGGGACTAAGTGAATTTAGCCCCGTGAAGATCGACGGGCCAAAGCGAGCGCAACTCAGGAGTTTCCCCGTCCAAACGTCCTCCCACGCTTCGAGCAGTGCTCGCTATCCCCAACATCCACTTTTGTGATCAATTCTCGTTTCTTTCTCTTTTCTTTTCTGTTTCGCCTGCGGTGCTTTTGCTTCTATTTCATCTGTCCTCAAGCGAATCTCCTTTCTTCTCCCTAGGTCTGGCACCGAGTTCCGTTCCATGGCAGTCGTCCGATATCTGTCCTAATCTCGCCTTCCGTGAAGAAGGTGTCTATTAGCCGCCACCATGCGTCTTCTCGACACCGCGGCAGTGGCTTTTGGCCTCTTCGCTGCTACGACCGCCTCGCTCCATCCTCGCCGATCGTACGAAACCCACGATTACTTCGCCCTCCACCTCGATGACTCCGCTTCTCCGTCCGATATCGCCCATCGACTAGGGGCTCGCTTTGAAGGCCAGATCGGAGAACTGGATGGCCACTATACCTTTTCCGTGCCGCGCGACGTCGACGGAGATGTAGACTCCATGCTGGAACGTGCGCGGGTCCGAAGGAGACTCAGGCGACGCTCCGGGGATGGTAGCTCTGCGCTGGATACCGATGAGGGACTGGACGGTGTGCTGTGGTCTCAGAAACTGGTTCCCAAGCAGCGACTGCAGAAACGGATACCTCCGCCCGGGAACTTCCCACGAGTGCCCGCGGGCACCACCACCAAGGAGAACCCTGAGGCCGTGAAGATCCAGAAGAATATCGCGTCCACGCTGCAGATCGCCGATCCGATTTTCAGTGGCCAGTGGCATCTCTACAATACCGTGCAGCTCGGCCATGATCTGAACGTCACCGGTGTCTGGTTGGAAGGGATTACGGGACATAACGTTACGACGGCGGTGGTGGACGATGGGCTGGATATGTACAGCAATGACTTGAAGCCGAATTATTTTGCCAAGGGTTCCTACGACTTCAATGAGAAGTCGCCGGAACCGAGACCGCTGCTGTCGGATGATAATCATGGCACCCGATGTGCTGGAGAGATCGCGGCGGCGAGAAACGACATTTGCGGAGTGGGCGTTGCGTATGACAGCAAGGTTGCTGGTATTCGCATTCTCTCAAAACCGATTGACGACCAGGACGAGGCACTCGCGATCAACTACGCCTACCAGGATAATCACATCTACTCGTGCTCGTGGGGTCCGCCTGATGACGGAGCTACGATGGAAGCGCCCGGGATCTTGATCAAGAAAGCTATGGTCAATGGCATTCAGAAGGGGCGCGGCGGCAAAGGCTCCATCTTCGTCTTCGCCGCTGGAAACGGTGCCTCGTACGATGACAACTGCAACTTCGACGGATACACGAACAGTATCTACAGCATCACCGTCGGTGCCATTGATCGCGAGGGCAATCACCCCAGCTACTCGGAGTCTTGCTCCGCTCAGCTGGTGGTCGCCTACAGCAGTGGTACAACCGACGCCATTCACACCACTGACGTCGGCACTGATAAGTGCTATTCTCTCCACGGCGGAACGTCGGCTGCGGGGCCCTTGGGTGCGGGTACCATCGCTCTCGCTCTCAGCGTTCGACCCGAGTTGACGTGGCGGGATGCTCAGTACCTCATGTTGGAGACGGCCGTTCCGGTCCACGAGGATGACGGCAGCTGGCAGGTCACCAAGAGCGGCCGGAAGTTCAGCCACGACTGGGGATTCGGAAAGGTGGATGCCTACTCGATGGTGCAGAAGGCCAAGACCTGGGACCTCGTTAAGCCCCAGGCATGGTTTCACTCGCCGTGGCTCCGGGTGCAGCATGAGATTCCCCAAGGGAACCAGGGTCTGGCCAGTTCCTACGAAGTGACCAACAAGATGGTGGAGAAGGCCAATATTCAGAGGCTAGAGCATGTGACCGTTACTATGAATGTTAACCACACTCGCCGCGGCGATATCAGCGTGGAGCTGCGCAGTCCGGAGGGCATTGTCAGCCATCTGAGTACCGCTAGACGGTCTGATAACGAAAAGGCGGGCTATGTGGACTGGACCTTTATGACCGTGGCACACTGGTATGTTCATGCACCGGCTGGTTTTTTTTTTTTTTTTTTTTTTTTTTTTTTTGGTTTACTGCGCTATTTAATTCCTACCGTACTAACAATATCAAGGGGCGAATCTGGCGTTGGAAAATGGACGGTGATCGTCAAGGACGCCGTTGTCAACGAGGATATCGGAAAGTTTATCGATTGGCGACTGAACCTCTGGGGTGAAGCCATCGACGGCGCCAAACAGGAGCTACATCCTCTACCCAACGAGCATGACGATGATCACGACATCGAGGATGCGATCGTAGCCACGACAAGCGTTCAACCCGGGCCAACCAAGACCAAAGCCCCGAACCCGCCCACTGACGTTGCGGATCGTCCGGTCAACGCGAAACCTACGCCGACTACGCAGAACCCCACGCCGGCAGAAGATACCCCGGCCGAAGAGGAATCGAAGGCGCCCACGCCGGCGGAAACCACTGGCTCTAAAACCAGTCCCACGGAGGAAGCGGCGGCCGCGACTACATCGTCCGAGAGCTTCTTGCCCGCCTTTTTCCCAACCTTTGGCGCCTCGAAACGCACCCAGGCCTGGATCTACGCCGCCATCGGGTCCATCATCGTGTTCTGCATCGCCCTCGGCGTCTACTTCCACATCCAGCGCCAGAAGCGCCTGCGCAACGACCCCCGCGATGACTACGACTTTGAGATGATCGAGGACGATGAAGATTTGCATGCAGCCGGTGGCCAGGGCGGTCCCACCCAACGCCGGGGCGGCGAGCTCTACAACGCTTTCGCAGGAGAGAGTGACGAAGAGCCATTGTTCAGTGATGAGGATGACGAGCCGTACCGGGACCGGTCTGGTAGCGATGACCAACAGCGACGAGACAGCTCTCACGGAGATCGACGATAAGCCTGGATGAACGATTACCCTATTCTTTTTTGGGTTTGGATTTGAATGGAATTGAATTTCTTTTGTCTTCTCGCTCTGTCAATTTAAATGGATGTTCGAGTTGATGTCTCACGGATGCGCGGAAACGAAGAAGGCGCATGGAGTTCTGTATATATTGTAAGAGAGCGCCTGGGGTTGCCAGAAAATAGAAATATAATGCAAATCATAATGCAACTGGATGCGAAGTCTTAGTCAGCAGGTCTTGGCGATGATGACGCCGATCGGGCGCTTCTCCAAATGGATTGATTGCCTGGTCTGCTCCACTGCCTCAACTCCGCACCCTCTCGACCAAACTGAGCCTCTCCCCCTCTCTTCCGGCTCATTGTTTGTTTTCCATTCGCCTATACCGTTTTCTTATCTGCATTTGGTTTGGTTCGTATCTTTGCTCAGCCGCAGTGAGCCGAACCGACAAACAACTTGTTTCGGCGGCAACCCAACTCTTCGATGGATCAACACGACGACTTTGATAGCGTCTCATGGAGGCATGACGCTGGTAGTGATGCCTCCGGGTCCCGTCCCACCACCTCGGGGACTGATGCGGAAGAGCCGTCTGGCCTTCATCACGACGTCAATGGCAAGCGCAGGATGAGTTCGGCAGGCCACGAACCTCAGGCCGGTCCGCTCGCCGACGCCGTCGACCTGGCGGGCATCGGTGACGGAGTGCTCGAATGCCAGGTCGATTCGCCGTTGAAGGAAAGCGATGGCACCAAAGATGCCTACATCTCTTATTTGGTTACTACACATGTGGGTTTACATCTTTCCTTCTGATAATCAACGATCGCAGCCTCGTCCTGGTGACGAGGGTATACCGCTGCCTAGCTACTTCCACACCCCCCCTCCCCATTCCAATGCTGACGGGGCGGAAATCAATTATCCTAGACCGATTTCAAATCCTTCCAGAAACCAGAATTTACCGTCAGAAGACGATTTACCGATTTCTTCTTCCTATACAAGACGCTGTACCGGGAATATCCCGCTTGCGCGGTCCCGCCGCTGCCGGACAAGCATAAGATGGAATACGTGCGGGGGGATCGGTTCGGCCCCGAATTCACCACCCGCCGGGCCTGGTCGCTACATCGGTTCCTGAAGCGGCTGACATTACACCCGGTCCTCCGTCGAGCCCCTTTGCTGGCGGTATTCCTGGAGTCCCCCGACTGGAATGCGCACATGCGCCTGCGGTCCTCTCGCAACTCGACCAGCACCTCCGACGGCAGCGGCGTGCCCGGCATCTTCGATAACTTCACGGACACGTTCGTCAATGCGTTTACGAAAGTGCACAAGCCGGACCGCCGGTTCATCGAGGTTCGGGAGAAGGCGGACAAGCTGGACGAAGATCTCAGCCACGTGGAGAAGATCGTGGCGCGGGTAGCCCGGCGCGAGGCCGACCTGGAGGCGGACTACAATGAGCTTGCGACGCAGTTCCGCAAGCTCGTGCCGCTGGAACCGGACGTCGAGGTGCCCCTGCAGGTCTTCGCGGCGTCGGTGGAAGAGACGGCGCGCGGGCTGAAGACGCTGAAAGACCACACGGACCAGAATTACCTGGGTTCGCTGCGCGACATGGAAGCCTACATCCTCTCGGTCAAGGCACTGCTCAAGACGCGCGAGCAGAAGCAGCTAGACTTCGAGGCGCTGGTGGAATACCGCAACAAAGCGGTGGCCGAGCGGGACTCGCTGGCCACGAACCCGTCGTCCTACTACGCGTCCAACCCGCTCACCTCGTCGCCCGCGTCCTTCATCCGGTCGAAGATGGAGGACATGCGCGGGGTCGACCACGAGCAGTCCCGCCGGGAACGGGTGCGCAAGCTGGAACTCCGCATCGACGAGCTCACGCGCGAGGTCGAGTCGGCCAAGACCACGTCGGAGATGTTCGACGAGGAGGTGGTGCGCGAGGTGGCGGACTTTGAGCGAATAAAGGCGGTCGAGTTCCGGGACACGCTGGGGGCGTTGGCGGAGAAGCAGATCGAGTTCTACCAGGGGGTGCTCAACACGTGGGAGCGGTTCGTGGCGGAGATGGACGGGGATTTCGAAGAGGGTCTGGCGTCTCAGGCACAGGAGGGTGCCGCCGTGGCCCGGTAGATTCCCCAGGGATGTATGGAGTATGACATCAAAGCAGCCAGTAATTGTTAATTTCGGGACGGGGTCGTATTGCTTTAGCTTTATGATTTATCTCTTCATTCTCTGTCTTCTTTTTTACTGTTCCCTCTGGAGTATCTGGTTGAGTCTTGTCCTACCCACAACGCAAAGATTAAAATCAAGATTAACAACGCCTTTGTCCCATCCATCTATTTCATTAGTTAACCGAAAGGTATTAATTATCTACATCAATCATAACATCACCGTCACCATCATCAATTAATCTAACCCGCTTTCTCATACACCCAATATCCAATACCCAAATCCAATTCTACCGACCTACAGTACCTAGTCTCCCGAAGAAACCCCAATACATTCAAATCCACAATTAACTATATGGACGAAAGACGATAAAGAAAGAAACAAAACAAGACCCAATAGATACTATTGCGTCCGCGTCCGCGTCTGCATCTCCACACACTCGAAATCAATCGCCCCCGGCTCTCCTTGTGGATCCGAGATCGCGGGATCCAAAGCGCGGGTGGATTTTTGACGTGCGCGTTCCTACACAAATTATATTAACATTTTCCCTTCCAATGCTTGCTTTACGTATTCATCGGCGGGATTATATATTGATGATGAAGGTGAAGGTGGAGGGGCTAGAAACATACCTCCAGGTACAATTGGTTCGCGGTCTTCGCGGGCCTTCCGTCTTCGGCTGTTAATTGGAGGTAGATTTCGTGGTCGTAGTCGATGGTGGATTTGGAGTGGGTGTAGTGGTTGTAGGAGAGTGAGGAGGTGGTGGAGGTTGCGAAGTTGGCGCTGACGAGGAGGTCTTGTTTTTGGGTGGTGGTGGTGGTGGTGGTGGTTGTGGAGGCCATTCTTGGATGTTTGAGGGTTGTAGGTATATGGTAGGTTTTGTTGTAGGGTTGAGGTAGAGTGTGGATGGATAACTAGGTGTAGACAGAGCTAGTGTAGTTATATTGAGAAGATCTATCAAGAGATAGAGAATGTAAAAGGAAGAATCAATAACAGATAAACGAAAGGAAAAGAATTGACTCCAAGTCGAGGGTTTTTACCCCTTAATTCTATGACGATTTCATCTAGACCACACACACACACACTTGCACAGCGGGGGGGCAAACATCGGATTATATGGTTTCGGCCGGGTTCTCCGGGTTTATTTTCGTGCCTGGATTGTAACCGTCGACGAAAAAGAAAAAAAAAAAAATCCATCACTTTTGCAACGCCACTTGTCTCATGGGCTGATGTGATACCGATTTAGTTTCTGCAGCCTGCATGGAGTGGCAAATATATGGAGCTCCGGTACTTTCGGCCCTCGTCACTGCTACGGTGGATGCTATACATACATACGTAGGGAAGGGGAGGGGTAGGCATAGGGCAGTAGGGCAGGAGTATCATTCTGACACTCCGTACTCCGTAACTAAACCCTATAGAACTACACTTCAAGTTCCCCTTTCTTCGGTTGTAGAGGGATAGTAGGTTGAATGTCTGCCTGGAGACGATGGCACTAAATTCCCCGAAAGGGATTAGCGGCTGCTGTCAGAGTCTCTGTCCGACTCTACTTCCTTTTCTCCCCCTCTCACTCAATGTCCCCTTGTATATCTCAACCTCCATCTATCTTCTATCCTCCCCTCCCCCCCTTTCTCTCAATTCCATCTCCCTCTCCATTTCCTCCCCATCATTGTCAAAATTCCCTCCCTCCTGCGAGCCCGCCACCATGCGGCAATTATCTCATTGGGTCGGTGTCGGAGTTGCACGTTCGCCGCTGCACTCAGCCACCCCCTCTTGGCCTACTACTTTTTTTCTCCCCTTCCCTCGTTGCATTTGCCTTTGCATGGCCCGTGGATGGCATGGCCCCCAGTGTGGTTACGGTTGATTTTCCCCCAATTCTGTACTACCTCTACCTATCTACTTACTAACTAGATCCGACTAGGCACTGGGCACTGGGCACCGGTCGGCATGCCCGCCTAGGGTTTGGGGGTGCAGCCCCCTGAAGTTTTGTAGATGTACCCGGTAACCCTGTGGAAAATACAAAAGAAAAGAAAAGCACTTGGTGCTGACGTGTAACCGGAACGACCCCGTACCCCTTTTTTCTGGGGTTGCATCGCCATGATCGCCTTGGTTGAGAGGAAAGGGGTGAGATGTATGTATGTACTCCGTACTCTGTAGGCACATCCGTGGTAGGTAGGTTTGTTGGTTTGCATGCACATGCAGGAAGGCTTAGATTGGGTTGATCAGGTAGGTATGTACTTATGTTGAGCCTAGTATGTGTTTCTCTTGTGAGTGGGTGGGTTGGTTGGTTGGCTGGTTGGTTTGTAGATTGGTTTGCCCTGATATCAGGCTATAGGTTAAGGGACCGCCGGTGACCACAACATACAACATGGCGTTGAGTCAAATATTGGCGTGCGAATGCGAAGACGAGGCGGAGGCTATGCTATGCAATAGGGTTGTCTATCGATCTGTCGCGTGATAGTCACCATTGACAGTAGATGGATGGGACAGTTGCCAGTGTCTTAGACCATTGCTCGGTCTTCGCTCACTGCCACAAATGGGTGTTCTTGGGCTCGTTTTAGGGCTTGGTTTGACTTTATCTTTTCGAGCAGGTGAATGGTTGTTGACGCTTGGTCTTCTTCACGCACTTGGCTGAGGATATGCTCAGGGCTGAGTTCGAGTGTTTGCATTATCCAGGAGCTGTGCTACACTAACGTTGCCTATAGCCCTATGAAGCTGGTCTATTGGCGACTTAGTGAACCTAAAGCGGTGCCATGTCAAAGGGGGTCAGCACCTATCAATGACAGCGAAGGGGAGGTAGCACTGCCCTCTTCATTGCTTATTACGAACAATCATTGGATTGGGTGAGAGAATATCTTATGTTAAGGACTGTGCACATTGACCACCATACGACAAGGCCTGAAAATAAGAGTCCAGCAAAACATCTGACGCATGATTCGCGCTGTAATTATATTAAAAAAAACTACCAACTCACTAAAAGACAACGCCCTGGACATGATTCAACCCCTTCACACGGATATCCTTGATCATAAACACCCACACCATCGTCAACGCCATGACCGCCGTCCCGGCAATCAACATATTCCGCTGACTAACAGCATACGCATGGTTGATAGCCTCGCGGGTCGCCGAACCCATCTTATAGCTAAGCTGCACGTCCAGCGAGTTCGCAATCTCCTCCCACTTGTCCCTCGTCTCCGGGGGCAGCGAGTTCTGCAGCACCACGGGCAGGGTATTCGTCCAGATCGCCCCGGAGATACTGTTCCCGATCGCGCCACCGATGTTCCCGAACAGAGCCAGGAAGGCCAGCATTGACGCGTAGTCGTTATGCGAGGAGGCTGCCATCACGGCGATCTGCTCCAGCAGGATGATCGTGCCGCCGCCGAAGCCGATGAATACTTCGCACATACACATGTAACGAATGCTATGGCCAGGACTGCGGAAGTAGATCATCAACCCCACGGCGAGCATGTATAGCGGGATCGAGCACAGGAGCAACCACTCATGCGGATATCATCGGTGAGGTCAACGGCCGCAGGCGCGGTGTTAATATCGGGCGATTTATCCGTTATGGTGACAGGCCGGAGGAGAATCCGTAGATTTGCTTAAATCCGCAAGACTTCCCTTATAAGAAAAAGAAAACAAAACCTACAGAGCGGGGGAAAAAAAAAGGAAAAGGAAAAGAAACATGGCAAAGCGAAACCGACCTAATATTAGATCCATACTACGGAGTGCACCAAAACAATAATCCTCCAGCCAAGACCACCAACACAAGCTTTCCGAAAAATCAGCGAGCTAGCCCACGAGCGGAAACTTGACTTCTTGTTTATTGTCTGATCTGGAGTTGATTTACTCTATTCTGTCTGCTGCTGTTGATAACTTAGCTTTGAGGCTAATCGGGGGTTTAACCGCCGTTAACGGCAGACGCATCTGATAACTTGTTATCTGTAGGCCATATGGGATTGGTCGCTTGGAATATGTGGAAGCTAGGTCGGAGGTTGAGGTACTCTCGAATGCTTGGCTGAGACTTGAGAGTGTGTTCTTTTACTGGTATGTACACCGGTGTTGCCACCCTGTAGATATCCAATTTGCATATTTGCATGGTAGGAGAGCACACGAAGACATTCTGCGTCTACTCCTTGACAAAGTAACAATATACCAAAAAATAGAAAAAGAACAAAAAGAAAACATGATCCAACCCACCACCCATACTCCCTACTCCGGAGTAAGTTCAAATTCATAACCTTCACCTGTCCGAGCAAGTCCACCACGCAAGTAGTCTCCGCCCGTGGAGTCCACAATGGACCGACAGATCCAATCATCCCACATATTTTCACCCAGTTTCCCAGAAGCGGAAACACGGGCTGTTTTAGTGGCACAGATGTAGTAACTGGCTAGCAGTAGCGGGAATGTTTCGCCCGTTCGGCCGTTGCTTGATTAGTCGACTGCTCTGGGCTTTATGGCTGGTCGGTTCTTGTTTTTTTTTTTTTAATTGAGATAGATGTATGGATCGGCACCGCAATGGGGAGTTTGGGGTTGTTAATTGGTTGGTGGTTTTTAGTTTTAGAGGACAGAGCGCTGTGAGATAAATTTGTGTAGGAGAGGGCTTTTATCTGATTTGGATGAATCGGGTCTAGCGTTGTCTTATCTGATTGCAATCTGATTGCAATCTGATTATCGATTAGATTTTTGATTTTTGACTTCCCTTGACTTTCATTCCCAGTTGCACCCAATCTAGTAGATTTTGTACTGTACATACCTATTGGACATTTTTTTGAATTCGATATTCAATAATCAACACCTCATCCCTTTGAACAAGATAAAAGAATCCCGTGAACTGCGCACACCATGCAATTAAAATTCCCCCAACAACTCCCTCTCGGAAAAGCTCATCCGGGCATTCTTCACCAATATGTATGTCCCCTCATCCTGCTTGATAAAAGAAGGACGGGATAAGAAAAAGACAATCCCCACCCACCGATATACACTAACCCGAGAGCCCCCAAAACTAGACCTCCAATCTCGTCGCCTTCGAATACACGCACGTCGACGCCCCCAAACCCCACACCCTCATCTTCATCGGCGGTCTCTCCGACGGCCTGCACACAGTCGATTACCTATCTGACATCGTCACAGCCCTACATCACACCTCCTGGTCCGTATTCAACGTCGTACTTTCGTCTTCATACACAGGATGGGGAATGGGTCGCGTGGGGAAAGATATCGACGAGATTGCGAAATGCGTCGCGTATGTACGGCAATATAAGCGGGAGGTATACGGGTCCTCCCTGGGAGGAACCGGGGGACCAGAGGGAGAGAAAGTCGTGATCATGGGCCATTCGACAGGGAGTCAAGATGTGATGAGTTACCTGTGCGAGACGAATCCGCGGCCTCGACATGCGGTCCTTGATCGCGACGCGGAGTACGAGGTTGTGACGAGAGGCACAGTGGATGGGGCAATTATGCAGGCGCCGGTTTCGGATCGCGAAGCTATCTTGTCGGTGGTGGAGTCTGGGACGGAGAGAGAGAGCCCAGAGTCCATGGGAGTGTTGTTGACGGATGCGGTGGGGGAGGCGGAGAGGAAGACCTACGATTATTATCACTATTCTTCTGGCGATGGGCGTGGCTCTACGTCTACGTCCACGTCTACAGATGGGGAGGTTCTCGTCACCGATACGCTTGTTCCTTTGCAGGTGACTGCGCGCATCGGCTACGGCGCCTCCACGGCGGTTACTAGTCGACGGTTCTTGAGTCTTGCGAGTCCGCGCAGTCCGGAGCATCCGGCGGAAGATGATCTGTTTAGCTCGGATCTGAGTGATAAGCAGCTGCGGCGCACGTTCGGGGTGCTCGGGACGCGAGGCCTGTTGGGGCCCGGCGGTAGGCTGCTGGTGCTGTATTCGGGGCGCGATCAGTCGGTCCCGGCGTACGTGGATAAAGAGGCGCTGATGGGTCGGTGGAAGACGGCGGCCGGGGAAAGCTGGGATTCAGGGAGTTTGGTGATTCCCGGGGCGTCGCATGCGTTGAGTGATGATGATCAGAAGGAGCCGCGGAGGGTGTTGGTCGAGAGGGTGATGGGGTATTTGGATGGTGTGGAGATGTTGATATGATAGAAATGACACTGCTATGATGTATAATGATGAATTGGTAACATGATCTCATTGTCTTTCATGGTGTTGCATACCTACATGCATCTGGCTTCAATGCACCCGAATTTCAAACAAAGAGATGTATCCCCAAAATAGGTCGCTGCCGCCAAAACACTGTACTATCCCTGACTATTCCATTCATTTCTCTTTGTTCATCTCCAGCCTCAGACACAAAGATCGCGACTTCTGCCGTTTGCAATGGATCCATTTCAATCTCAGGATTCCTTCCATTTGGGTTACCTGTTCCTGATTCCTTTTGCTTCCAGCAACTTTTCCATCCGATGTCGTCTTCAGATCGGGAAAGACCGCATCCCTTGCAACCAGCGCCAGCTTTTTGGGATAATCTTTCCGAGGTCTTCTTGACGACCAGCGCCTCGAGGGAGTTATAGCGAAGGATCGCTCCTCCGCAATTAAGCCCAAGATAATCCTCGTGGTCCCAGACCGACTACGTCAAGCGCTTGCCTGCATACCTATACTAACGAGAATCAGTTCTCACACATCATCTGAATTTGCTCCAGATATTATCCGCGCCTGTACACCACACCGACTCAAGGAGCTCAAACGGTTTTCCCGCCTGGGAGGTCCAGACACCTCAGATCTTCGGGATGTATGTATACCCCGAGTCGAAAAGGAACTAGTGGGTAGGCACTGACAATCTTTATTCAACCAAGCACTTTAAGCCCAGCGAAGGGTTCTCATACTTTCCGACCCTGTCTCAGACGCAAGACTCGGAGCCCTCGTTGGCAAAGATGAAAAAGACCGGCGGGGTGACTGCCTCCTGTCTGAACTTCGAGCAGCACCTGATTGAGCATGAGGTCTTCCTCGCGGGGTGCAGGCGCCTCGATGGTAGAAGACTAGATCCGCCGCAGGACCTGGCCATCATCAGGCAGCAATTATCACAACGTCGAACCTCTCTTTCCGAATCGAACTTTTCCGCCAATGACTTTCAGGACTTTACAGACGCGGATTTGCAGGCCAGAAAAGAGCACCACGTTAAAGCATCCATCGTGCCCATCATCGAAGGCAGTCAGAGCGACTCCAGCTGTACCGACGGGGACAGATACCCTTTCACGAATCTGTCGCCCTTAACAGACGGGTTGCTGGTGCCTGCGACGCCCGATGACTTCTCCAGCGCCCCGCCCGATCGCCTAGATGCTCGAATTCGAAGTGATCTGGAAGGACAGATCGTCCCCTCAGCGGAGACTTATCTACCGATCGCTCCGAACTTCTTTTTGGAAGTTAAGTGCTCCGATGGGTCATCGGCGGTGCTTCGTCGGCAAGCTTGTTATTACGGCGCACTAGAGGCCCGGACAATACATGCGTTGCAGACGTTTGGGCAAGGTCCTCCCGAACCAGCATACGAGATGCCACTTGCGATTACTGTGGCGTATACCAGTGGCACCCTGCTATTATATGCGCATTCTCTGGTGGTGCCGGAAAACGCCGACGATGGGCCCCTATATGTCATGACGCAACTGGGAGGTTGGTGCTTAATGGGAGATCTGAAAAGCCTGCGACAGGGCTTGATGGCTTATCGCAATGCTCGCAATTAGGCCATGGAAAAGGGAGATGAGGTTATCGCGACGGCCAATGAAAGGTTGCAGCCTATTCAAACTGAATAAATCTGTTGTTGATGAGTCAAGAGGAGGTTGAGCACGTTGAACACGATATTTGGTTCTGCTGCTACTGTAGGTATATACTTAGAGTTATGTTGCACCACTGTGACCTGAGAAGTGTTTTCATGATGCTGACTGAAATGGAACTGACCAGGATTAAGGTTCGAAGGGAGAAGTTGAGGGAAAAAAAAAAAAAAAAGAAAAGAAAACAGATAATGGGAAGAGAATAAAGAAAGAGAATATGGAAAGGGGGAAAAAAAAAAAAAAGAGAAGAGACAAATTTATAGATGTGGCAATACTAGAAATTGCAAAAAAGAAGAGGTCGTACCCGGGATCGAACCGGGATTACCGGAATCAGAATCCGATGTGCTAACCATTACACTATACAACCTTTGGTTGTTGAAAAGCAGGGCACAATATTGCATTATAAAGTACCATATACAATGGATATAATTAAAATAGCTTTCCCCCCCTTGATATCCAGTGTTCAAGTCAATGATGATGACCTGACTACGGAGTATGGAGGAGATAGTCCGAGTCTTCTGTGCAGTGTAAAGCACCTTGGTGGACTGATGTGTTTGCTCTGTTTGCACCCATGGCCTTATCCAACCCGCGCTTCTCGCCGAAGATCCGACGCTTCATTCCGCAAACTTCAATCCTCCCAGCCATTATGCGCCCCATCTCAAGATCTGCCCTGCGGCCTTATGTCTGTCCATCTTGCCGGTCTGGACGTCTGCCGAGCCGCCGAAAATTTGCGTCCAAACCTCAACAGAACCCCGAAATCTATGATGTAGTCTGCGTTGGCGGTGGTCCCGCGGGCCTCGGACTGCTAGCAGCTCTCCGTAAGTCACTGCACTCACTAATTCATACATTTTGATTTGTTCAATACTGACTATTTATCGAAGGAGCCTCTCCTGCCACTTCAAAGCTCAAAGTTGCCCTCGTCGAAACCCAGGACCTCGAAAAAGCCCGCTCGTGGAATCTCGAATCGCATCAGTTCTCCAACCGAGTCAGCAGTCTGACGCCTTCGTCCGTGTCGTTTCTGGAAAGAATTGGAGCATGGGATTTCCTTGATACTCAGCGCGTCCAGAAGTACCAGGAGATGCAGGTATGGGACGGCGAAACGGGGTCCCGCATATCATTCGACTGGTCGATGGAATCCTCTCCGTTCGAAGACCTCCGTACCGTCGCGACAATGACGGAGAATGCCAATCTTGTCCGCGCACTCCTATCGCGAATCGCCGCTTCTGGAGACGAGAACCTCTCCATCTTCTCCAAATCGACCGTCTCGTCCATCGAGAACGGCAACGATTCACCCGACGGACCGGATCTTTCGGCGTGGCCCGTCCTTTCCATCTCCCAGACCGACGGGGCATCGACTCAAGGACCGTCGCGGATTGCCGCGAGGTTACTGGTGGGCGCAGACGGTATCAACAGCCCCGTGCGCAAGTTTGCCAACATCTCAGCCGACGGCTGGGACTACAATCGAAACGGCGTGGTCGCGACCCTCGCCCTTTCAGAGCCAGAGACCCCTACGTTCCCCATCGGCACAAGAACCGCCTACCAGCGTTTCCTACCTTCTTTGGGCGGCCCCGTCGCCCTTCTCCCGCTGCCCAACAACCATGCGACCCTGGTGTGGTCAACCACCGCCGAGAACGCCGCCTACCTCAAATCGCTCTCCCCTAAAGCTTTCATCGCCATGGTCAACGCTGCCTTCCGTCTCGCCATGGCCGACCTCAAGTACATGATGAGCATGCAACGCCCGGCCACGTCTGTCTCGGAGGAGTATGAGGATCAACACGAGACCGAACTGACCTGGCGTCTACAACATACTCCCCAGCCCTCGCAAATCCCACCCATGGTCACGGGTGTCCAGGAAGGCACCGTGGCCTCTTTCCCTCTACGATTCCGCCACGCGTCGACGTACATCTCTCCCCGGGTGGCTCTGGTGGGCGATGCTGCCCACGTTATTCACCCCCTGGCCGGACAGGGCCTTAACCTCGGACTGGGCGACGTGGCGTCCCTCTCCAATACCATCGAGTATGCCGTGAACCACGGGATGGACGTCGGAGACATTCTCACTCTCGAACGGTACACCGCCGAGCGGTGGGCCACCAACGCCAAGATCGGTGGCGCCTGCGATGTGCTGCACAAGCTTTACAATGTTCCCGGTCAGGGACCTGTTGCTTGGGGTCGCAGTCTAGGCTTGGATATCATCGACCGCGTACCCTTCCTTAAGGGACTCTTGATGAAGAATGCCGAGGGTTGATCTGTTGAACGGGCCGAGTCTAAATAATATCCCCTCTACTTTACGCTCTATTGTTTTGTTGTATCGTTAGTAGCTCGATGTGGTACTTAAGTTCGCAATAATTGTACAATACGCTATCAGTCAATAAGGGCTTATCATAATTACCAGCGTGCCTTGCCTGTCAAGCTACTATGCGAGATATGGGCTGTTTATTCTATTCACATTTCGAGTATTTCTTCCCAGCAGCCAGAGGGATCCCCGACATGAAGAGTATCTACCGTTAGACTCGCACTCGACCCAACATTGCTCCCAGCCGAAGAAAGCCTGACAGATCAGCCGTGTAGCGCCAATGGGAAGAAAGATATACCAGGAAGGCTGAACGGTCAATACCTGACTCTATATATAGGTACCACACTGTTAATGTGGCTACCGTATATCCTCCGACAATAGTGTACAGACTGCGCCCCCAGGTTGGCCAGATCGGTAGGTATACTCATTAGATAGCTGATCATGACACCTCAACGGCTCAGCCCTAGACTTCACGGGCCATCCACCCCCCCACGGAAGGATAACTAACTTCTTGTTGTGTTCCTGACTCGCCCGAAGCGAATCTAGAAACAGAAAACGGCGTAGTCGACAGCACTGGGTCCATAATTGTCTGATGTGGCGTTCTTAGGATAATCTGTGGGTACCTAATACCCTTGGTGGACGAAAGAATCATGTTCAAATCTTGGCCTTTCCTTCTGTGGCTGGGGTCGTTGTTATCGTGGAACTGAGTTGTTCATGTTTAGTAGAAGCTGTTTTCCTCTTTATGTAGAGGTTAGTAGGGGATGTATTTTGGACTACCAAAGAGCCCCACACGGTACAAGAAGTGAGAAAGAAGGGAAAGAGGAGGGTGTGTGTGTGTGTGGAGTGACACCAGGTAGCAGGTGACGGTCCATCTGATGTCAAGGACAAGCACAGAACAAAGAGAAAAATGTAGTCGTGCAACTGCTACCTGACAGTACAAGACTCGTCCAATGATGTTAGCTTATTGTTGACTGTTACAGATCAGCAAACGCATTGAGCCGCCATTTCATATGATATCTTTGTAGAACTTCGGACAGAGATGGACAACCAGAGGAGGCTTTTTCATCACATTATGCAGCATGATCCCGAAAGACACACTGGATCAACGACATTCTAGAGGGTCCCTAGCCCTGGATACACGTATCGCTGCATATATGGGAGGCAAACAGATGGCGAAGTCCTTGACAGATTGCTATCGCTCCTCAGGTCTCCCGGTTCTTTGTATTCTGTTGCAGTGATGTTGTCACGAGGGTATGCGATACGGAATCAGAAGGAATGGGCAGGTTATATAAAAAAATTAACATAACAATACACTATTGCTGGTCCGGTCAACATTGACCAGACTTAAGACAGCTGGGATACGACAGGGAGCCTCCATGCCTGGTCAGATGTCATGTGACCGTGTCTACCCTCAACCCAGAGGCCACGTGAGCATATTGACCTCAAAAAACAGTGCTCTGCCATCCGTGGGAACTCGAAACAGAACAGAACAGAACAGCAGGGAAAGAATACTGACCACTAGGCTGCAGCCCCCCACTCTTGTCTCATTGGTGACGGGCGAACGAGGCGCGGATCTAAGGTGAGGGGTGGCACATGGTGTGATGGGCTACCTGGATAGTCGGGGGACTAAGGGGATAGACTATCCTTGAGAGGCTAGACTGGCAGATAATCTCCGCTCGTTGAAGAGCATTATTTAGACGCCCGCATCGGCTGGGGGGATGTTCTGGCGGGGAGGCTTGGGGAGGGTTTGTGGAACGGGGATCTGATTTTCTGCGGACTGCGGCTGGTGGCAGATGTTTGCAGGGCGTGGGATGACAGAACGGAGTACAGAGGGCACACCGTAGCGGCGTAGGGAATGGTTTAGTGGGTGGCTCGGATCCGGGCTTAAATCAGGTGGTATATTAAGTGGCGGGTTGGGTCTTGGAAAGAACATGGGGAGAATTTCTTTCTTCCTGTAGACTTTAAAGAGAGAGATAGGAGATGGGTGATGTCAGTACCTGAGGTAGACAATACCTGCGGAGTACTTCTATTATCCGAGTCGAGACTTACCGAGTATGTTGGATTTATGCGACATTACGGAGTAACTGACATTATTCCAGCGGGGCTCAGCGAAACCCTCGATTGGCTTGCTCTGCCCACGTGGTTTTCTGGTAGCGCGATACTCCAGAATACAGAGTACATACGGTGTACGGTGTGGTACGTGACATAAGGGAGTCAAATATGAGTGATTTCTCACCTAGGTATTTAGTAACCTGGAGAAGGCAATATTAATAGAAGCTGGATTGTTCCTGAGACACGAGGAAAGACACCGTTAGAGTTGACTCGTGATCGGTGCCAAGCATTAAAATCACGCATTCCATTCCATCTGCCACGCACCCTCGTCCCCATCCACCTCGATGCATCCCTTGGGACATTTCAGACTGGAGAGTTGACAGTGCATCGTACGAGAACCACCCGTTTCACGGACGAGGCTAAGCCATCGCCAACGGGCTGGCAACGAATCAGACTCCCTGCATCTGCCTGATCCATGCTCCGATGCAACCCCGGTCACGATAATATTCATTTTCCCAACTGTGGCCAGTCGATTTTTTGATTATTCTTTTCCCTCTGCTTCTCGGCCCCTCCTCCTCCCAGTCTATATTATCTGCATGTCATCCTCTCCCCCTTTGTTCCTTTCTTTGCTTTTTTCCTGTCTGATGTGTCTCATCTGACTGACCCTGGGGAGAAGGCTTCTACGTAGCTTGATGAGGTGGAAGGCGATATGTAGGTCGGATGTAAGGGTGCCTTTCAACCTCCATCAACTGCGGTGTCTTTTGGCCCTTATGCCGAGACCCAAGATCTACTCGGTCAGGAATGACAAGGCGACATTTCAGAATCTCGCCGGGATGAAGACTGACGTAGATAGGTATTATGTAGACACTGTCAAGGGGGCAGTGGAACCCTCCACTATATAAAAATAGTGGAGGAAGAACAAGTCATAGTAGATAAATTAATGAAACCGGGAATTCTTTCACTCTCTCTATCTGACAGCTGACCCGGGTAATACAGGCTGGTGACGGAGCACAAGACCGCCCGCCAGTCGGAGACGGACATCCATGGCTTTGGTGAGAGGTCGAGGCTGAGAGGAATGAAAGGAAAGCATAATTGGAAGTCCCCTCATTTTGATCCGCCCGTTCGTCTCGCCGCCCCAAGAGTCGCTCGGACCCGCGCGCTCCGTCATTTCGAACAATCCAACGACTAGTATTGCCCAGTACGATCTAGTCACCACTTCCCCATCTTCCTGACTTCCTGACTTGCCTCGTTCTCCTCGTCTTTCTCCCACTTTCTTCTCCTCCTCCTCCTCCTCCTCCTCCACCTTTTCTTCTGTCCTTCTGCCGCCTTCCCGCATTGCCTCTCGGTCAATTCCATTCCCTTCCCCCTCGACTTTTACTTTCTATCCCCTAGTCCCTATTCTCCACAAGCCAATTCCTGGTTCATCGGTCTCTCGGTTTCTTCGGCCTTACAATTCCCCTGCTTTCTTGGGCGTCCCCACATCTCGAATCCGCCCCATTCCTCGCCTTCTCCCACCCATCCGCACTCCGAGCGCTGCCTTTCCACGCTCCTCTTCGGATCCGCGGGCCCTTCGAAACCTTATGCCTATTCCTGGCTCACCCCTGTCTGTCCCTTGTCGCCTTCGATAACCGTTTCGTTCCTTTCGCTCAACTATTCCGAATCACCCTTCCGTCCCTCTCAATTGTGTATCTCGTCCCTCCTTCTGGTCGTCCGCTGCTTTTCTCGGCTCGCCGTCGCAATCTTTGCTCGCCCCCGTTTGCGCCTCAATTTCAAACCACCCAGTTTTGCCGCCGTCAGCGGCCGTGGTGTCGGCTTCTTTTCCCGCCAGAGTCACCAGATGAAGTTGCACGCCTTGATCCAAAGCATTAGGTGACAATCATGGGGTCGTTTTTGAGGAGCTTACGACGAGACGTGGTATGTCTGCCTTGCGATCATTCCTTTTTTATTTTTTATTTTTTATTTTTTATTTTTTTTACGCCCGTCCCTTGTGCATCGCCCTGGCGTCCTTTTTCGGAGAGGACGAAAATAAGGCGCCAGTCACACCCTAGATTCCAAATCGTCCTGGTGACGACAGATGGCTAATTCCGAACTGGTCCAGGGCTCTCCCGCGCCTTCGGTCGGAGCGACTCCCACGAAGAAAGAACCGCCGGTCATTCCGTTGACCCCCTTAGAGAAGATGCTGCAGGATATGGGTCCGATCCGCGAGGATGGCAGTGATAAGTTTTTCGGAATGGAAAATGTGAGTCCCTCTTGAAGCATTATCGTTAGGATTCGGTCTTTTTTCTGTCCGAGTGGGTGTGCTAACGACATTTCCCTCCTTTAGTATGGTAATACTTGGTAAGCCGGCCAGGATCCAGCGTCGTACAACGTGTACAGGAGGGTGGGTGACCATAATACTGATTATGCATTCCGCAGCTACTGCAATTCGATACTACAATGTCTTTATTACTCGATACCTTTTCGGGAAGCCGTCATCAACTATCCCACGCGAACGCCCATCGAAAGCCTGGAGGCCGCTTTGGCCAATAACCTCCGTTATCAGAATCTCGCCGCGAACTTGGAAGCCGAGGCACTGGCCGAGAAACAGAAAGCCGCTAATCAACAGCGATCGGGGATGTCCCCGAATCCACCGCCGAAACCCGAGGACAAGGACTCGCCCGAGTATAAAAAGAAGATGGCGCTGCAGACGATGCCGTTGTTGGAAACGAAGAATAATGCAACGAGCTACGGAATGTCGGAATCGCTATTTACCTCGCTCAAGGATATATTCGAATCTGTCGTGGGCAGTCAGTCGCGGATCGGTATCATTCGACCACAGCAATTCCTGGATGTTCTGCGACGGGAGCACGAGATGTTCCGGACGGCAATGCACCAGGACGCTCATGAGTTCCTCAACCTCTTGCTGAATGAAGTGGTTGCCAACGTGGAGGAAGAGGCTTTGAAACAGCCGGTCATGAAGAGCCTCCCGCCGCCGGAGAGTACCGAATCGGGCGAAATGTCGTCGAGCTCGGGATCGAAAACGCCCAACACGACGCGCTGGGTGCATGAACTGTTTGAGGGCACCCTGACATCGGAGACGCAGTGTCTCACTTGCGAGAAGGTGTCCCAGCGCGATGAGGTCTTTTTGGACCTTTCGGTGGACTTGGAGCAGCATTCGTCGGTCACATCCTGTCTGAGGAAGTTTTCCGCGGAGGAGATGCTCTGCGAACGAAACAAATTCCACTGCGACAACTGCGGAGGATTGCAAGAGGCCGAGAAACGAATGAAGATTAAGCGCTTGCCCCGGATCTTGGCTCTGCATCTGAAGCGGTTTAAATACACAGAGGATCTGCAACGCCTTCAAAAACTGTTCCATCGCGTGGTCTACCCGTACCACCTTCGCCTTTTCAACACAACCGACGACGCGGAAGACCCCGATCGCCTGTATGAGCTCTACGCGGTGGTGGTACACATTGGTGGCGGACCCTATCACGGACATTACGTTGCGATCATCAAAACGCAGGATCGCGGTTGGTTGCTGTTTGACGACGAGATGGTGGAACCCGTGGATAAAAACTACGTCCGGAATTTCTTTGGCGACAAGCCCGGGTTGGCCTGCGCCTATGTTCTCTTCTACCAGGAGACCACGCTGGAGGCTGTCATGCGCGAGCAGGAGCAGGAAAATATGGACGCCGCTGCAGCTGCCGCAGAACTAAACGAGCTGAACCTCAAGCAGAATGGCAGCGCCCAGCCGCTGGCCCACGTCCATAGTGCCTCCCAGATCCCGTCGGCCGACGACACCACGCGATTCAACGGCCTCGCCCGGGCTCCCACCGCGCCTCAGCTGTCTACCCACCCCGAGTTTGTCGACGCAGAGAACGCCACGCCCTTGACCTCTCCCGTCTTGAATGCGCCCCCGGTGCCTCCCATTCCGGAGATGCCGGTCAAACAGCCTTTGAGCCCCAAGAAGAGTGACTTGGCTTCCAAGAAAGAACGGGCCAAAGAAGAAAAAGAGCGGAAGGCTGCCGAGAAAGAAAAGGAGAAGCAGCGTCGGAAGGAACAGGAGGCCCGGATGAGGGAGAACCAGCGCCGTGAAGATGCCGAAATGAAGGCCGCTCTCGAAGCTAGCCGATCATCCAAGGCAGACGAAGACAAGCGCAACGGCCCCGAGTCCGGCAAGGACGGCGACTCGAAGAAACTGGGTAGCCTGGGTCGTCTGAAGCGGGGCAGCAAGAGCATCAGCCATCGGTTAGGCAAAGACAAGGAGAGCCGGGCCTCTTTATCGAGTTTCCCACCCACGCCGGTCGTTCCAGAACATCCGGTCCCCGCGCGGAATTCGGAGCAGCTCCCGCAGCCTAGTACGCCAACCCTACCGGCGAAGCCTGAACGAACTCAAACATCCCCCAACCACAACCACCGTACACCTCCCGACGAAGAGCGTGATACCCTGAAGGACGTCAAACACGATAAGAATAGCCATGGGAAATGGAGAAGCTTTAGTCTTAGAAAGAAGTCGTTCAGCATTCTTTCTTAACGTTTGCAGATCTCGTTATCTGGACCTCAAGGTTTTCATCCCTGCACATATTACTACTGGTTTGTTTCGCAGTAAATATTTCCTTTCGATGTATTATCATTTTCCCTTCGTCACCGGTTCCAACATTTTGCATCGATACGATACCTTGTCACTTGCACTTACTTGCACTTGCACGTCATCATTGAAGATTACATCGGATATGGGACCGGGTACTGTCTTACTATGCTTCAGTAGCATTCTTATCATTCCTGCATATCTTTTCCATTGTATTTATCTGCATCATGTATCTTAGCCATCTCTTTTCTGACTGATTGATTCATTGTGATTGTGATACCCATGCCTGGGTCACATTGCTGGGCAAGTGAGGCGTTCGGCGATAACTTTTATCAATTATATTGGACTCGAAATCCCGAGGTCTCCGAGGACTCATTCTATTTTGCTCTTGTATGGGAACGGCGTGTCTTTGTCTTTCTGTCCTTTATGAAAAATTATCAAAAGCAGAGCAGCTCCGTTCCACTGCCGAGAAGCCGTCTGTCGTTCTTGGTCTGGGGTATTATTCATTATGCATATTGTTTCTCAATCATATCTATCCCATCCCCATCTCGTGATCTATTTCCCGGAAGATCTCGGAAATCTCAGCTGTTTGAATAGGCAGGTTTGTGGGGCGTGCAGTGCATAGAATAACGGCAAGAAGTACATTTACAAGGATAATTGCTATGAACAAATAACTCAGGAGCACACGTTTCTCGTTAGATGATAAATCAGACCAAACCAATTCCGGGTCTTTTGGGGGATGACCGGCCACTTTCGGGACACGGGACACGTAGACACAGATTTGCACGAGACAGAGAGATCCCAACAGACAAACATGGACAATTGAATGTAAGATGATGGACTGGCCCCCACCAGTACCCCGACGCGCGTCTCTACCTGCTCTCTTGCACCATTTCATTCATCGTATCAATTGATTTGTCCGTCTGTCCGTCCCAACATCATCATCCCATTCCCTTTGTATTTCGCCTCTCTCAAACCAACATCAACATCAATGAGCCCATGCTGATTCCGGTCGGAGGTATTCGTGTCCAGTCGAGTTGGGTGGTATCATAGTTCGACGGGAAGCATGAATCCAGAATGGGATTTGATCGAGAGGTGGGGATTTCGTTTCGAGTAGGTAGACTGTATGATGAGCGAGATAGGTTGTGTGATGTCGCATCGTGGTCGGTGCTCTTATGTCTGGTCTGTCTCCCCTTTCCGTGTCGTGCTGCGCCGTGTCATGTCCGGTCCCATCTGTCTTCCTTCCCTTGTGATTATGTTTTCCTTGTTCTGTCCCCCGCTAAACCAGCACCAATAAACCCAATCAATCATCCATACCCAAAACCGAATCAAAATGAATCAAACATCGATCATCGAATCGGAAATAGAATCGAAACAATGAAGACGAAACGGAACGTAAAGAAAATGCGAAATTGGTATTTGTATTTGTAAAACGTAGACCACGGATCACCCGAGGACCAGCTCGTACCCGATTACCATCGTGTTGAATACGATTAGGGGTACTGTTGTAGCCAGAGAGAGCGTTCGCGTTAGCTACCGATATCATAACATAGCATAACATAACATAGCGTAGCTAGCATAGCCTAAATAACCAGCATAGCCTAAATAGCATGGGAGACAATAGAGGAAGGGGGTATTAGAGGAAAGAACATACTCCGCATCACAGTCCTCACACTGGCGATCAAATTGACCGATTTCGCTTTCACGCTGGTGCTGTCGTACGTTGCGCCGAAGGCCGGGTCAGCTTGCGGGCGACCGAATCCGACTAGTTTGGGGAGAGAGAGGGTTAGTTTTTCCTTGATTCTTCTGGGTTTGGATATTGTATTGGCTTGTCGGGGATAGATATAGAACAGAATAGTCTTAAATGGCTGAGAAGATCGAGGGAATGTAACGTACTCCTTGCGAGGAAGCGGTCTTCGGAGAGGACTGCGATGGCGTTGACCATTAGGAGGAGGACGTAGATGAGACGGCCGAGCATTGTTTCGTTTTATTACTTTTCGATTTTCACTTTTCCGTTTCTATTTTCTGATCGGGAGGGAGGAGGCGAGGAGGTGACTGGCGTGGAGGGAGATGACGGAAGAAGAGATGCGGCGGAAATAAAGTTGGAGTGAAGCCGCCAGATGTTCATTTTGTGGGGAATCTGTTTGCCTGCTTGCAACTTGCAACTCTCCCCGTCCATCAACTCGCCGGCCTCTCGACGCTGGGCTGGATTTATCGCGATGGGGCGAATTGACGGTATGTTTTGATGAAATTCTATTGCATTAAAGACCTTGTCCGTGTGCTAATTAATTCCCCCAGTTGTCTATGCGCTACTCTGCGTCGTCCTTCCCGTCTTGGTCGGCCTGCATTTGTATGTCGCGCCGTATACCAAGGTCGAGGAGTCCTTTCATGTCCAGGCCATTCATGATCTGCTCGCCTTTCAGCTGCCCACTCGCAATGTCGCCGAGACGCTGCGCGCTGAATATGATCATTTCACCTTCCCCGGGGCTGTGCCTCGGACGTTTGTCGGCGCCGTGACGCTCGCCGGACTGTCGCGGCCATTCATCTGGCTGAATGCGAACATTGATCGGCAGTTCCTGGGTATGTTACACTCGATGTCTCCGCATTATTTACAGTACAGGTAGCTAACAGCCCTTCAGCTCGAGCCCTCCTAGGCCTGCTCAATTCTCTATCGCTGCTGGCGTTCGCATCCAGCATGCGACGAGCTTTTGGCAAACCGGCGGCCGTGTGGTACCTGCTCTTCCAGACCAGCCAGTTCCATGTCCTCTTCTATGCCTCGCGAACCCTGTCCAACATGTTCGCCTTTGGCCTCTCCACCCTGGCGCTGAGCTTCCTGCTGCCCGTGCCAGTATCACCGCGGGCGTACCAGAAGCGCTGTCGCACGTCGCTGTTCCTGCTGACGCTGGCGGGCATCATCTTCCGCTCGGAGCTGGCGCTGCTGCTGGGTACCTTCACCATCTTCCTCTACCTCACCGGACGCGTCGAGATCCGACGCGACATCATTCCCGCTGGGGTTCTCGGACTCTTGCTGGGCCTCCTCTTCACCGTCGGCGTGGACTCTTTCTTCTGGCAAGAATTCCCCCTGTGGCCGGAATTCGCCGCCTTCAAGTTCAACGTCCTCGCCGGCCAAGCCTCCGCCTGGGGCACGCACTCCTGGCACTTCTACTTCACCAACGCCCTCCCCCGCCTCCTCCTCAATCCCTCAACGTGGCTGGCCCTCCCACTCGCTTTCACCCTCCCCTCCACCGCGCGCCCCGCCCAGCTCCTCACCATCCCATCCCTCGCCTTCCTCGCCATCTACAGCTTCCAGCCGCACAAGGAATGGCGCTTCATCGTCTACATCATCCCCGCCCTGACCGCCACCGCCTCCCTCAGCGCGTCCTACGCCTGGACGCACCGCGCCAAAGCTCTCATCCCACGCCTCCTCTCCCTCATCCTACTCCTCACCACCGCTCTCTCCTTCCTCCTCTCCACTTTCGCCCTCCTCCCCGCCTCCGCGGCCAACTACCCCGGTGCGCTCGCCCTGCACGCCCTCCACCGCCACGCTGACAACACCCGGCCAGCCATCTTCGTCCACTTGGGAAACCTCGCCTGCCAAACGGGCATCACTCGCTTCCAACAACTTCCTTCTCGCATCTCCCTTGCTCACTCCGCCTGGTCTTACGATAAATCTGACTCCGCGGATCCGGTTGTCCTCACTGAGGACCCTTACTCTTTCTGGTCCCGATTCGATTACGTACTTGTTGAGCCGGGAGAGGAGGAAGATCGTCTTCTTGCTGCTTCTACCCCTTCCTCTTCCTCTGGTTCCTCCTCGGACGACAGTAGCGAACTTGGAAACCCCCTGATCTGGACCGAAATCGAAACGATAACAGGGTTTGCAGGCCTCCGTATCCTTCGACCCGGTGATGTGCCGAGTGATATCGAACTCGGGGTCTTGAAGTTTTGGTGTGGAGAGGGATGTGGGGAGGTGTGGACCTCCATGAGAGATGCCGCGAGGAAGCTTACGAGAGGCTGGTCTGTTGAGGTTAGAGTTGAGCCGAGGGTGAGGGTTTTGTGGAGGAGGTTTTCTTAGAATTCTACGGAAAAGAAGGGTTGGATTTTGTTGAGGGTGATGGTTGGAGATATATTGATTGGTAGAAAGCAGGGATTATATTATGTGTAAGATGAAGAGGAGGTTGTGATAGTAGTAGTACTATATGAATATGATGTTTGTGGAAATGAAAATGGATTGATGCTTAAATCTGCCATAACCATCAATGTGAACTCAATTAGATGATACTGCTCAACCATGAGTATACACAAACAACCAACCAACCCCACGTTCACATCCACAACAATATCCACATGAAAATCAAGAAAACAGGGTATTAAACACCACCAGTCGTATCCAGCCTCTCCAATCTCCCCTCCAAATCCCGCACCCACGGCTCCACTAACTCCACATTACTCTTCAGCGCCGCCTCGCCCTGTCCCATCTTCTCCTCCACCACGCGCAGCCCTTCACGCCACTGTTCAATCTCCCGTGCCATGTCAGCCTGTCGCCGTTCCAGCTCATCCAGGGACTCGGACGCCTGCGCCGCCCCGGCGTGGATGGCGCGCAGCGAGCGCAGCCGCTCCAGCACGCTGGGCAGGATTGGGTGCAGAGACTGGATCGTCGGGAGCGTGGCATACAGGGCCTGGATCTTGGTGGCTTGTTCATCGCGCTGCGTAGCCGCCGGGTCGGTCTCCGTGGCGGAGGAGGACGAGACGGAGACGTCGGACGGCTCGATGGCCGCGGCTGCGATGCGCGCGTTCTGGGCTGCTTTGGCGGCGTCGAGGGCGCGTTTGCGTGCCGCAGCGAGTGCCTCGGTGTCTGCGGTGAGACGGCGCACGCGGGTGGATAGCGTTTCGAGGTGAGGCGTCGAGACGGTCGTCGATGGGGGCAGGTGGCCGGCGGAGGTGGTGGGGACGGCGGAGGCCGGGGCCGGCCCGACGAGGAGGTTCATGAGGGTGGCGAGCCGTGAGGTGATGTGGTCGAGGGCCGGGAGGACAGGTTGTAAGGGGGGTTCGGAGATGCCGTCGGAGACGAACGGGTTGGAGGAGCTGGAGATGCCCATGGCTGATTCGATGAGCGCGAGACGGCTGTCGAAGGCGGCGGCGTGGGAGAGGACGCCGACATTGGGGATGGTCTGGTCAGAGGAAGAAGGAAGAGGAGAAAGGGCTTGTTGGGTGTCGAGGCCAGCCGTCGTCGCAGGGACAGTGGACTGCGTAGTGGTAGAGTCGGCGTCAAGTTTCTTGGATAGCGCTGCGGCGGCGGAGTGCGGGACACCGACACCACCGGGGCCGCGGGAGGATGCATAGAGACTATCCAGCGCGCGACTGAGTTCTAGGACGCCGTCACCGAGCGGCTCCTTGTCATTACCGGCGGCAGGGTCTTGTGGTTCGGTCGCGTCTTCCCTCGTCGCCACCTCGTCCTTCAGTTCTTCGACCTCTCGTCGCAGCCGAGCCAGCTTCCTGTCCAAACTCTCGTCTTCGCTGTCGCTCAGGTCACCGACCTCTTCGAGTCCGTTCTCGTTCTTCCTTCTCCGTCGGCTCTTGCTCCGGTACGCTTTGCGCTTGGTGTCGATGCTGTCGGAGAAGTTCACTTCGCGGGCGTCGACCGTCGCACCGAGGAAATGGGCGCGCGCCGCGTCGGCGTCCACGCCTTGTCGGTCAATGTCGGAGTTGGAGCCGGCATCGTCGTCGAGGTTCGAGGCTGTGCGGATAGTGGCTGTCTGAGGTAGAGTATATTAGGATTGGAGCTGTAGGAGAGAGGTCATGACAGTGGGTAGTAGTACCGGGACGGTGGAAGCTTCGTCGGTGAGGTCGGGGGTTTCGTAAATATCGGGCGCGAGATCCTAAGGCACGATTAATTGGTGAAACACAAGAAATGTAGAAGAGAGCACAGGACGTACGAGATCTGGAAGACCCGCGTATTTCTTGTTGAAGGCCATTGCGAGGGTGGGGAGAGGGCAATGGAGAGAGAAGGAAGGTCAGGAGGTTGTTGATCCGATATACTTGGGATGTTTGGTCTGTTTGGTTTGTTTGTTCGGACGAATGACGGCTGACTCAGCATAATCGGGTGTGGCGCCTGAGGCACCACTTGTCATACATGATCTCGATGAACGGCGTCGTACCTGAATCTGGCATCACACAAGCCGATAATCACATGAAATACAATCCAGAGTCAACGGGAGTTTCCAAAAGATTATGCCCTCCGCCCCATTTCGGACAGCGCGGAACTCTCCACAGTCTTCTTCTCTCCGTGTCGAATAGATCGAGCGCCAAGAGTCATGTTCGACGCCAACCACTTCCCCAAGAACCCAAGAAGGACAAGTATGGGGAAAGTAATCTAGCCCGGAGCGCAGATTGGTGGATTGCACAGCGTCCAAGCACTAGGAAGGCGTTGTTCCTACAGAAGCAGCGGCCAAAAAGCGCCGGAACCTGCCGCAAGACCGCTTCACGTGAAAGCCTCGGTGGTTTGGCCCCAGGCACCACATGAACGGTGACGTCCGCCATTTCTCCCCGCCTATTTATTCTTGCTCCATCCTGGTCGGTTGGCAGATCTTCACGAGTGCCTGTCTGTCTGTTGTATTGTCATTGTACACAAAGATTTCTCGAATTGATTTCCTTCGAATCCTCTATCAATTATCAGTCCCTAGTTTCCTACCCCTCATCCACCATGGCCGCCCCCGCAGATATCACCATCAAGAACCTCAGTGGAGAATGGACGATGGTGCGCACATCTACATACTACCTCGAAATCCTCACTCACAGCTAACCATGTTATTTCTGATCCTCTAGGACAAGAATGTCTCTGACCCGACAGAGCCGCTTCTCGCCCTGGTACCCCTCTCCCACCCTCTCACCTAGTCATCATCCACTCCACTAACATCTACCAACAGCAAGGAATGGGCTGGATGCTCCGCAAAGCCCTCAACATGGCCTCTATCACCCTCCAAGTACACTCCCACGCCGACTCCACCGACCCCAAGCTCATCCACGTCGACATCGACCAAGTCGTCACCGGCGGCATCAAGGGCACCAGCGAGCACCGCACCACGGACTGGACCAAGCGCGAGCACGAGGACCACATCTTCGGTAGAGTCGAGGGCCAGTCGCGGCTGCTCCGTGGCGTCAAGGGAGAGGACGGCAAGGTGCGGCCAAACGTGGACATCCAGACCAAGACGGACAACGAGACGGTGAAGAAGTTCCTGCGGGGCGAGGTGCTGGCTGATGGCTCTGCTACCGAGGGATTCCTGGTCGATGCCGAGGGTGAGGAGTACGGCGAGGGAGAGGGTCTGTGGTTGCAGAGCTTCGTGAATAACTTGGATAATGGGTGGACGGCTGAACAGGTATTTCCTCCTTTCGTCTCTTTCCCCGTGGATTGTAAGCTCTAAGGATGAGATAGGGTGGATGCTGATGATGTCTATAGATTTGGGGTTTCGAGAACGTCAACGGAGAACGGTACTATACTCGTCGCGTGGTGGTGTCGAAGGATGACAAGTCCGAGCTGGCTCGGTTTGTATACACCTTCATCAAGCGTCGAGAGTAGACACACAATGCAGGGTAAACAAGACTCATGAGACTTAGAAACCTAGACAGCCAGTGCTGAGAGTACATTTACATCTGGGCTCGAGTCAGCAACTTCCACTATTTGGCATTTGAATGAAAGCAAGATTAACCCTACACTGCAGCAGCTACTTAAGTTTCTAATATCACTATGTGTGGAGCTACCGCGAACGTACAGAAAATACCATCTTTTCGTGGTAATAAGCGTCATGGAGGATAGTTGTCAGATTACTGGAAGCAGAAGACGGCTATCGCGATCATCAGAATGTTTGGATTTCAATCGCTGCGGACCATGAAGGTTGTCAAAGGAAACGAATATATGTGACTTTTAGAGGGAAAGTCATAGAATAGAAATCGAATCGACCATAAGCTATCTATAGAAAAATGATCGAAACTTCTTAAAACCCGGTAAAAGAAAAGGTACACTAGCGTAAATCTTAAGCTCAATTACACTAGACAAGCTCAGCATAGCTCTAGGAAAGAGCTCAAATACACTAAAAGGAATTAATAGCAACGAGCTGATATATTGAAACTCAGGGCGGCAAGTTAGAGATGCAAGATAAAAAACTTTAGCCTCTTTACAACGAGAAATATGAGAAGAAATAACTTGAATAGATAAGAAGCTCATCAATCATTCATTTGATCGATCATTTGTTTGTCAAATACCCGAATGCCTAGGATTCCAACATACACGCTACAGTTGTTCCCGCTGCACAATAATGGGGAAAAAGGATACGAGCAACAAAGATATATTGAGTTACAAGGATAGTTGAGCATACCGAGTATTCCAGCAGCCCCGTATGGCTCATGAAGTTAGCCGTCAATTGTGCTGCCTGGTTGAGAAAAGGGCATTTATAATATGGCGAGCTGAGGAATCTACTGTGGGGGATGAACTCGTGACTATGATAAGTAATCGCTAAAATAAAATAAAATAAAATGACAAGAGACTACTTGTTTTAATTCCTTTTGCAAACTGACATGATAATTCCACAGAGTCCATGTCTATGGACATGGATAAGTCATTCAGCAATAATGCTGCACCAGGTTCTTCAGCAACGGTTTGGAACTCCAGTATGGCAACTCATCATATACATCATAATTCGGATTTTCAACCTTATGTTGCATGCTGCGTACAGCACCCCTGATATCCCACTGTAATCCCCTTTCTTCCACTGCTTTTAGGAGTATTGGCAGGCACTTAGCCTTGGGCCAGTATATAGCTTCATGCACAGGCGTCTCGCCGACTTTATATCCCTGAGAGGTTTCAAGAACGTCATTGCATTTAGCAAAGGGATTGGCGCCGTGGTTGAGCAGGGTTTTGGCAGCGTCACGATTGTCTCTCCTTACGGCACAGAGCAATGCCGTTGCATGAGTACATCTGCCTGAGGCATCTGCATAGGCATCTGCATCGGCATCTACATCGGCACCATACGCCAGGAGAAGGTTCGTCATCTCGTTCGACACGTACGTAGCGGCTAGGCCGAGTAATCTCTTCCTTGCTTCCGGGAATGGAAACTGTGGAACTGGGGCATTGGGGTCGAAACCGTGGTCGAGAAAGTATTTGACGACCTCCACATTGCCGGCTGTGGTTGCGTTGCCTAAAGCTAGTAGACTGTCCATATTAGCCGGGTGAAAGCTTTTACTCGACTCTAGAAGAGGTCGAATCCTCTCTATACTCGCGTCGCGGCTTTTTAGTACCCCATCGAAAAGAGATTCGAGATAGCCGGAATGCTCCCGGACATCTGGGGTTGGGTCGAAGCTAGTTATCTCGAGGAGCAATCGCATGACTTCTGGGCTGCCCTCTCTTGCAGCAGTGGAGAGTAAAAGGCGATCGCTGCGCTTGTTTTTCACCGTTGCCCCCCGCTGAAGCAGCAGTCGAATTACCTCTATGTACGGCGTAGCAACCTCTAGAGCATTGTACAAAGCATCGAGCAGAGCAGCAGAAGTCAATTGTCGTGCTATTTTGCTGTCCAGGATTTCTCGCAACAGCCGCACCTGGTTGGCACGAGACGCTGTGCGAATCACATTCGCAAGAGAGTTTTCAAGCTCCGACGGGTTGCGAGCCCCTATAAAGTCCAAAATCCGCCTGAAAATACCTGCATGTCCATTTATAGCTGCCTGCTGCAAGGGATCGCTGAATTCGTCCCTCTCAAGTGACGCGTTACTTTGCTGTATTCCCAAGGGATCACAGCCCGCATCCAGCAAGAGCTGAACAGCAGACTCGCAGCCCGCCACTGCACTAGCATAAAAGAGCGAATCAAGTGCAAAGCCAGATGCAATTTTCGCCTTGATATCGATCATGTCGAGTAATAATTTAACAAGGCGGGCGTTCTTTTGACACGCTATATAGGCCAAACACTTCAGGTCACGCTCTCCCCCGAAGATGTCAGCCTCTTTCTCCATTTTCATCAGGAATAACATGATGTCCTCATGATTCTCGCACGCCGCATATAACATGGCAGTTCGGTCACAGTGATCTCTCTGCGTGTGTTCTGCCCCCTTAGCGATCAGATATTCCACAATATCCAAGCTCCCACGGCTAGCGGCATTCATAAGGGAAGTCCGGTTACCAAAATAACTGTCCAGAGACACTTCCACCTCCTCAACTAGAAAGCGCACACTGTCCAAGGACCCTTTATCCGCCATTATGTTAAGGGCCGGGGCCCACAGCCACTCGTGGTTGCCATTAAGACTGGGATCTGCCCCGCAAGATATAAGAAACCTCGCTGTCTCCCAGTGGTAATATAAAAGGGCACATTTGACCAGGAAATCGTACAAATTCCAGTCAGGTTTATCGTCAGAATCACCGTCACCGTCAGCATCAGCGTCAGCGTCACCATCAGAGTCACCGTCACCATCACTATCGGGATCAAAACCTAGCAAAACTCGGAGCAGCTTCGTGTGGCCGTCTTCGGTAGCCCTACGGGCCAACTCGCCGCCCCATCTCTTCTCGTAGCCCGATGGACTCGCGCCTGCTTCAATAAGTTGTTGCATAAGTGTATGGTCACCTTTGTCCATAGTGTACAGGATAGCCTTATCTTCGTGGATCTTGGTGTAGCGTGCCATTAAGGTTGGATTGACGAGCGAATAGAGAAATCGGCAGCTTCGTGAGAACGCACTGGCGTCATCAGCATACTCCAGAAAATTAGCGACATGATAGAGAATCTCATTGGGAAGTCCCAAAAGAGACAAGGACTTCTTTTCTTCAGACTCACCCGCCATTTCACTAATGATAGAGTGGCCGGTGGTGGATAGTGTGACAGTCTATTTCCCCGTGCGTGGGATGAATAGAAATGTCGGACGATCTTCTGCTACAGGTGATTAGTTCGGTATCGAACTAGACGAAGAAGAAGACGAAGAAGAAGACGAAGAAGAAGACGAAGAAGAAGACGAAGAAGAAGACGAAGAAGAAGACGAAGAAGAAGACG